AAGAGGTTACCTGAAGGTGGCATATCCTTCCTTTTACATACCCAAATGTCATCTGGGCAAATTCCTGAGCAACCAGGTCTATCCTTTGATGTTGGCCATACTTTGAGCAGGGGTTATAACTAGCTGACTTCCAGAGGTATCTCCCAATCCAAATTACTGTTTCAGAAATCAATATTAAAAAGCCAAGAGATTTGCAGCGTAAGACTGAACACTTCCTATCACTGCTACAGATGTATCAGTAAGTGGGGGTAGAATGTAAGGTCCATTCCAACCCTTAAATTCTATGATTCTATGATCATAGAATGGTTGAGGTGTGTAGGGATCTCTTGACATCCCTAGTCCAACCCCACTGCTTAAGCAGAGTCAACTAGAGCAGCTTGCACAGGACTGCATCAAGTTTGGTTTTCCATATGTCCAAGTTTTGACTATCTGAATGGTGTTTTCCTGTTTCCATGCCTGTTACTGAGAGCAGAAATCAGAATATAAGTCTTTTAGATAGCATCTTAGGTGAAAAAGACAATGTAAAAGGGCTTGGCTTATCAAAAAGATAAGAGAGTTAGAACTAGCAGAAGTCAAATTTCCGTTTGGATCTAGTTTTCAGTAAGAGTAATTGGAGTCAGTTCTGCTAATCTAGCATGCTGACTATGATGATGTAATGTTTAATCATCCTGGTAATTATTTCTTTTTAATTTTGTTCTCCCAGTGGCTCTCAAAAGTAAGTAAAGCTGCTGAAGTCCTTTAAAATAGGCAACGTTGCATGTTCCTCTTCAGGATTCGTGACCATGTGACGTGTATTTTGTCTTCTTCAAAATGTGATAGATTCATTTCCCTGTTAATTAGGTTTAAATCTTGATTTTCAGTGCTACAAATTTTGCATATGTCCCTGTCATTTTTCTTAAATTTATTTTTAATTATATCGGTTGCAAAGCTGCCCACATCTTGCTCCTTCTAATGCCTGGGATGCTTTTATAAATTAAGCCAATTGTATCTGAAGAAATAAGATTTTATTTTAGGGGAAAACAACATGTTAGTTTATAGCAGTTGTCAGCTTTAAAATAGAGTCAGTTTCAGAAGAAACTTAGTCTGTTTTCACTAAGTTGCATACATTTTAAAGGAAATTCCTGTTTTACCACAACAGAATACTAAGAAATAAACATCCAAAATATTTTAAAGCATTTCAACTAAGCAGCATGGTAGAAAATTAAACTTAAGATTTTATGAAGTCTGTCATTAGCAAGATCTCATGTTTTAAGGAATGCCAAAATGCTTTGAAAGTCAGAGGAATATCCTGTGGAGTACTTTCTTAAAATACCAAAATATAGACTCTTTGGGAAAAAGGAAACAGAAAGAGAAATTGAAGCAATGTGTTTTCTTAGATCAGACTTCAGTTAGGGTAATTTTCCTTGACTTATTGACAAGTGTAAGTTTGATCATTTGGCTCATGTGTCCTCGGAAAGGAGCACAGCCAGAATCTTGAAGGGTTGTTCCTGACTGAATCTGATAAACATAAAGTCATTGTCAATAAAGTTAGTTATCTGTGGCATCAGATAGTAGTTGTGAATTTTTTACTGCTTCATATGCTGGAGTATAAGAGTGTAAACTTACCCAATGGTTCCTGCAGCTTAATTGTGTATTCTGATCTTTAGACACAATACTTTAAGATTTTCACCTCTTTTATAATATGGCCAAAATACAATATAATGTACATCTATTTAAATTTCAGACATGACAAGCTGCAAAAATTATCTAACTAACTTTGAGTTCATGTTTCCTTTGTGTGTCCCCCTAACATCCTCAGGAAATAAGGACTCACTCCTTACTTTTATTTTGGTATGTTTGACACAGACACTGAAGACTGTCCTTTTTGTAAAGAAATCAACATGCAGAGTGTATAAATTGTAATAAAATACAATTATTTTTACAGGCTTTACAGTAGGCATTTGTATTATTCATTTTTACAGATTAACCTAGGTTCCAAGTTTATTACTGGTAGTTAATAAATGATCTTATAAAAAGACTCATTTCATCGCACAATAACATGTCTGGTATTAGTGTAGAAATACTCAATATGTTTGCACAAGTGGTTTATTTAATATGTTTTGTGTATACAAATTGTAGATGTGTTCAGCAAAAGGAGCCTTGATAGTGTCTCAAAAACCTGTTTTTGGGTTTCTGCACAGCTTTTTTAATTAATTTGGGCCATGGTACTTGGGTTTATAAATTTCATCAATGTTTTGTACTTTGTAAAAGAATATGATAGTGAGATAAACTTCTCTTTAAATTCAAGGGGATGAAGTTCTAGAATGGAATGGTAAACCCTTGCCTGGAGCTACAAATGAAGAAGTTTACAACATTATTTTAGAATCAAAATCAGAACCTCAAGTTGAAATTATTGTTTCAAGACCTATTGGGTAAGGCTAAAGACTTGATTTTAAGCAAAGTTATTGCCTCTGCTAATGGGACTATTAAAGGCATTATTTGTGAGTTCTTAACTTTTTATTGCTTCATATTGGAATATGATTCACTTGCTATTATTGGCATTCTGTGTATTCTGTTTTCTTCACTACCATTTACAATCTTGGATCTTTGCAGTGACATATATAGAAGTATAAATGTTTTTGTTATGGTCAAAGTACTCTGAATGTTTTTGACAAGTGGCAAAGGAAAATTGATGGGTTAAGAATACCTGTGCATGAAAAAACCCCTGTTTATCAGGCTTTCACCTTCACTAGAATAACTCACATAGGTGGTCATGAGTAGAAGGAAACATTACAGGATTCTGATAAGTTGATGCCAGTAGGATTTTAGACTTTCTTTAAAGAGCTGAAAAGGTGAAACACAACTGTTAATTGAAAAGATAACTTCAGTGTTAAACCAATTGAATTATTTTACTATCTAATCTAAGAGCTTCAAAAAATGAAGTATAACTTGACCACATTCCAGTGACATATTCCTGGAGATAAATTGAGAGAAAATACTACATGTTTTTGAAGTATGAAAATCAAAGAATTTTTACACTAAAAAAAGTGCTCCCAGAAATAGTACCAAAAAAATGTAAAGTTTTGCTTTGTATGACCCATGCATACTTTTTCCATAGATAGGCAAAAATAGAGCACATCAGATTGTGCTTTTATTTTGAGATAAATGGAGTCTTGGCTTGGAGGTTTTTACATAGTATAATAACACTTTTCTTTATTCTTTTAGAGTTGTGTCTCTATTGATTTATTTTTTCCTTTCCTTGAGACCTGGGTTGGATTTTGTTTTGATTTGTTGGTTTTTTTTTTAATGAGAAGAACAAACAAATATCCCAAAGTGACTAGAGCATATACCTTCGAAATTTAAAGCTAGTTCCTTTTTTTCCAGCAGTAATGAGCCAAAATTCAGTTGGTTTATATCAGATTGGGATTTATCTGTCTGTCATCTTAAAATAACAAAAAATTTCAGACATTGTACCACAAAGGAAATCTGGATATATGTTAACAAACAAAAATATACTGCACAGGGTTTTCTTTTTCTACTTTTTAGAATTTCTAATTTTTAGAATTATAATCTATGTAAATTGTGTTTCCTAATAGAAAATGGTTTGCTTGCATTAATAGATTACTTTGGTTTTATCCAAGCTTCACCTTGTCTTATTTTCTAAACTATGTGATTGTTTAAAATTTGTGACAGGGAATTTGATTTCCTCTCATTCAACAAAACTCATGTATCAAAGTTTGGTGGGTACTGTCCATGCTGACTCAGCAAAATTGAAGCTGCTTTATACAGCATTAAGTGATAATCCATTACAGCTAAAATTCCTGTGAGGGAATAGGTTCCCGAAAGGCCTGAAATATGGTATTTTGTCTACATAATTTAAATGTTTTCATCTCTCAGTATTAATAATGCAAATAATGTACCAGCACTTTTAATGGTCTTGATTCAAAAATTCCTATCATATTAGGTCTAAAAAGCCAAAATATGGCACAGGTTGGCTTAAGTGAATAATGGAAGGATTGTAAGCCCACAAATTAGACTGCCCACAAATTAGACTGCAGTTACAAAATTGCTGTCTAAACAATTTGCTCAGTCTTGTAAATTTGGACTTCTGTGTCTACCAGCAAATGTAATTTTGAATAATGGCTAATTGTAGGATGTTTATTAGAGAAAAATATGAAACACGTAACACTATTAGCAGCTGAAGGCATAACAACAGTAAACAGTATAACCACAATGGTGCCGTGAAAACTCCATAGAAACTAATTTACGCTAATGCTAATGACTGTGACACAAGGTAGATAAGAAACCTATAAAAAGTAGAATTAATGGGTTGGCTATCTACATATGAGGGGAAGAATTACCTATGAATATGCATACAGTGTGAGAGGTGGTTAACACAGGACAGCATAGAAAATCCTCTGGCAATATGCTCTTTGGAGAAGAAACGTGGCATGGTAGCTAAGTCACCACATCGTGTGTGCTCAGGTGAGGTCTATGGGATGGTGCAGGTAAACCACATTTTTTTTCATTTGTCTCTCGTTGTCAGATGCTAGCTGTCTTTGCCTGGATTTCCACAAGTAGTCCTGCCAGAGCTGTTATTTCTTTGATGTGATTCAGCTACTCTGTGCTGGAGTTTGGTTGAGGTTGAGCCTCTGTCATAAACCAGACAGTACTGAACTCCTGAGAGCAGCTCATGTAATGCAATTAGTGCAAACTGCAGACTGATCTCCAGGTTCTGGTGGGAAGGAATGGTTTTGGAAATAGCAGGATGAGCATCGGGGAGAGGTACTCAGAAACTTTTTAAAAATCTCTAGTGTGTAGAAGATGATACTTCTGTCCCTAGAGCTACCTAAAAAAATACGGGTTGCAACCACATTTGAATTTGATTCGTCTTCAGTGATCAACCTCTTGACTATATCCCTCAGAGAAATTATAGCTGTGTTTTATGATACAGTGATCCTCACAAACCCAGGGTATAGTTTCAACCTAAGGTAGAGTTTGGTTTAATTTATGTATTCATTGATGTGTGAAAGGATCAGACATAAGATAATTATTTATAACATCAGCTAAGACCACAAAAATACCTTTACCTTCTGAGGTAGAAACAGAAAGACCAAGTTTGATGTCTGCAGCTCTTTACTGGATGTGTGTCTGACACTACTTTTTTCAAGTTCATATTATTACAAATGGGGAGCAAAATTTTGTTACTGTTTTAGATAATCAGTTATGTAACTTTGCACTTTGATTTTACCATTTTCTTTGACCTGCCAAGTTTTGAATATTTTTAAGTCATAGTTTAGTATTTCTTTTGGAGAGCTTTTTTTGTAAATCAAAGTGAATATTTTCTGCAATCCAAAAGTAAAAGCAAGGTAAATTAAGACTAATTTTCTTATAGAAAGAGTTTTAGATTATAATTTCTTTTTAGAATTTTCATTCTTTAATTAAAATATCAACATTTTAAAAATGCTATACTTGATAAAGTCTAGTACTCCACTTACTTTTCTTGTGTGTGTGTTAAATTGAAGAAATTATTATGGAAACTGGATTATTGAATTTGTAAAAAAATTCAGAATTAATTAGAATACTCTGCCATAAATTTACTGATCATTGCAATGCTGCACACTTTATTTATTTATCTGCTTTTGTGACTTGCAGTTCAGTATGGTGCTGTAATTAATCAAGATAAATACATAGGGAAGAGAGTTCCTAGCAATACTTTGTGCACACATACATGAGCATGCACACACACACATGCATAATATGTATCTATACATCTAAAAATGTATCTAAATAATATATGTCTTATATATATAAATTATATGCATTTTTAACAAGCTGTTCATTGTACTATAAAGTTTTGGAGATTTTAGGCAACATTTTTATTGCAAACCATATATTTTCTCTGGAATTGAAATTTATGTTCTAGCTTCCAGTGTTTCTGTCACTTTTTCATAGAAATTTCAAGGAGTTTAGAAAAATACATTCTAAAAATTGTATTTTTCATTCGTTCCTGTCTGATAAGTAAAGTTAGGAAAGATATAATTATTTTTGTCATTTATCTCTCTTGTGAGGATGTCTCTCTTGTCCTCTCTGGTGAGGATTTTTGGACCACCAGTTCTAAATTAAGAAAGAACTCTCAACCACTTTTTTTTTCCATGTGGCATCTTAATTCCAGTACCTGTTTTGACCTATTGTAAACTCGGTGGATCTGCATCTCATGTTGATTTATTATTAGGCCTTTCTGTGTTGGTCTAATAGTGTGAAGGTGCCTTTACATAAGTCTGAATCAATTTTAATTGCTTATATGTGTAATTAATGTTTGAGGTTTATTTTTGATCTTCTTTTTCTACTGAATTGTTGACAATACAAGAAGAAAAAATCGAAACAAAAATTAATTTTAGTGTCTTTCTTCAACCACCCTGGGGTTATGGAACTTGACACTTCAGGTGGCACTTTCCATGTCAAAACACTCCTTGCACATATGAATCTTTGTTTAGATATCCTAAATGTTCATATTCTAGCCCAAGAAAACATTGCAAACTTAACATTGTGTTGAAGAGAAAAAACTGTTTGAATATGGTAAGTAAATGTTTGAGACTGTTGAGAAATGCCCTGGAAATTCTGCCCTGGAAAGAGAGAAAATGTTAAGATTAAGAAGTCTGCACAGATTGTTTAATCTGGTCATGTGTTTGTAACATAGTACTGTCCCCTGTCATGAATGACTAATTCAGTTATAGTTACAGTTTGAGGAAAGCACATTACTCTTGACTTGCAAAGACAGGACAAGGAGACACACATTCTTGTTTAGTGATGTGAGGTGTAAGCTGATATGACAGCATTAACTCAGAGCTGAAGTAGTCTATTCTAAAATACAGACACAATAAGTTAAATTGCAGGACATGAAAAGTGAATTTAAGGCTAACTGATTGGGCACTGTTGCATTCCTTTTCTGATACAAGTGTCTGTTTCCTTTTTGTAAGTGACTTTTATATACCTAGGAGTCTTAGTTTTATTGACTTCCAAGTCAGTAAGATAGTGTTTCACTGAACAGACAAATCCCTGAATACCTTTAAAAAGCTCAACTATAGACTTACAGTCTGGTAAATGTTCTTCAGAAATGTTATTGTAGATTCGGTTTTGGATAGTTTCAAGTAATTCACTGAAAAAGCTTTGTTTCCGTTTTCCTACTCTGCTGCTTTGCCAAGTTTTGTACAATACCAGTTGTTTCTTGCTCTTGCAATGTATTTTCAATGATGGCTGAAAGTAGAAGAGAGCCAGGAGCTAGCACCATCCAGATTTTGATGGAAGAGTAAATTTGTTGATGACAAAATCTTGTTAGATGTGTGTGGACTTAACCAATTTGATTTTTGCTTATACCTGTATCTGAGCTGGGTATGTGTATGTTGAAAAATGTCCATATCCAATTGTAATATGGTTTGATGGTTTTTTGTCCTTTGGAGAAATGCATTATTCCTTTGTTTGCTTAACATTGCTAATGTTATTTGGTTTTCTTTTCTTTTCTTTTTTTTTATTATTATAAGACATTTTCGTCCATTTCAGTCTCTGAACTCCTTGAGACGTTTGTATAAAAATTACTAGTGAGTTAATCTTTGTCTTATTGTTTGGTTTTTTGTTCCTCAAAAAAATAGTTGAACATCCATAGCTGTACTTCCTTTTGCCACCTTTCTCTTCCTAAAAGCTCTCTTAGTGTATTGTTCTGGTTGTAAAACTACCATGTAATCCATCCACAATATTAATGTTGTAGTGCTCATACTGTTCCTTAGCCTGAAAGAAGTAGTTTGCATTAATAAGATTTTCATGAGTGTTAGTGGAAAGTATGTCTTTAAATATTTCCTCTTTCTTTCCTTGTAACCTATTAGAACAGAAACAGATCTGTATTTCTAAAAAACTGTCCTAGAAATGTATTTGTCACAGCCAGAGGTCATCTCTGTTGTTTCTAATTACTGTGTGTTCACATTTTAGTGATATTCCACGGATTCCCGAGACTTCTCACCCCCCATTAGAGTCTAGTGAGTACACACCTCGTTCCTTTCTCATAACATGATCTTGCACCCAGCACAGTTCTTTCGGCTATGAACTTTCAGAAGGATAATCACTGGAAATCACATTGGCTCTGAGGTTTTTGTGTGATAAAAGTCAATGTGTTTTGGTCTTGTGTGTTAAATTTGAAAAAAATATAGATTTTATTAAAGCTATACAGATTTCAAATGTTAGCAGAATTGTTTTACCTTCTTCTATATCTTGTGTTGTTAGTACCAGAGTTGTGTGCATGCTATGGCCCAAAACAGTCATTTACTTGCCTTAATGTAAGAGAAAAAACAGGTATAAGGCATTGCCAAAGGTACAAATGCTGTCAGGATTTCACCTCCACCATCCAGCATAAGTCCAGAGTTCTTATTTCTCTTTTTCTTTACGAGAATTGTTGGTTAGGTGAACTTTTGTGTACCATACTTCAGAAGAATGGTGGTTTTTTAACTATGCCATTTGAACACTGTCAGCTAGATTATGTGAGGGCTGTGGCTCCCAGTCCTTTCTCATCTGAGCCTTTTCTGAGATGCAACTAGAAACCTTCCCTGGGACAGTGTCCCGTGTGCTCACTGAGTGCTGTTACACCTGTCACGAGCAGATCCCAGCACTGAGGGCTCTGTTTCACTGGGGGAGAACTGGTCATGCCCTGCAGTTGCTGCGACATCCTCCATGCCAAATGCACGTCCTGCACATCTTCCTATTAAAATTTCAGAGGTTGCCAGGAGTGCAATCCATACAACAGGTGTGATTTATTCATCAGAGATTTGAGATCATAGAATGAGAATAGTTTGGGTGGGAAGGGAGATGTGTAGTTCTGTCAGAGAACGATATTTTATTAAAACACTTGCTATGGTTTGCCAATGATGTATGAAGAATACTTCTTTACATGTTATTTCAAATAAAACAAAAAACAAAAAATGACAAGTTTAATCTGGAGTAAGGGTAAGCAGGAAATCTTTTCACCATGCTGTCTACATTGGTTTAAATTCTATGTATAAATCAAGTTATAGTGTGTATAAATACAAACTTTATACCATTTGAAGTAAAAGCAGTTTATAAGTTATCCAAATTTGCTTCAAAATTTTGGATGGTAAGTTCATGTGTTTCTTATGTGTTTTTAGGTTCAAGTTCTTTTGAATCTCAGAAGATGGAAAGGCCTTCTATTTCTGTTATATCTCCAACCAGCCCCGGAGCCCTACGAGATGCGCCACAGGTCCTACCGGGGCAGCTTTCTGTGAGCATATTTTGTTTTCCTTGAGTTGTTAATGGAAATCTGTGAAGTGCTGGTCCCTCAGCCCTGCACATTCCCAAGGTCTTTTGGGAGGTCATGAGAAATGTCTGTTGGTAAAAAATAATGTCTTTCAAATGTTTTTTAATACCCTCTGTATGTACTCACAAGCCATCGCTGTAATCATAGCAGAGGAAAAGTATTGTCTTAATACACCAAAGAGCACAGGAATTTACATTGACAGGAATCCATAAAAGTGCCTAGTAACTTGTCATCTTGTAGCCTCTGCATTGAAAGTGGTGACTTTTCTGTACATTCCCATTAATCTGCAGATAACAAGCATAGTATCACTTTATTTTCTTTATGGGAGCATTTAAAGAGCTGTGTATTTGTTAGGTGTTACACTGTTCAGTAATACATTTTAACTTAGATACATCCTGGAACTGTCTCTAATACTAATTGAAGTCCTGCTTTTTAAATGTACATTCTTATAGTTTTTATGTTGATCTTATTAATATCTAAGCATACAGCAGGCTCGACAAAATCATAACTTATGATCCTCTTAAATAAATAGCTGTATATTATGTTTTTCATAAGAATCTTTGAAAGGGTTTCAAATCTGAGTGGATAGATTTGAAATATGCCTTGAGTTTAGCTGCAGTCAGGGCTTCCTATTTAATGTAGCTTTTAAGGTGCAGAGTTAAGACATATGCTGGTTTAAATGCACTCACAGACAAAAGATTATTCAGTGAGTACAGTAAACAATGTAAGTACAATCAGGCATCACCATTTTATTCCTCTGTGGTAAATATAAAAGTCTTTGTATATATCATCATCTTTTCCATCTAACTTAATTAAATATTAAGGGAGTTGAAATAAAATATATCTCATTGTCTCTTGGAAAAATCAATGGTTACTTTTACATTGTGGTTATTGTGATGCAGTCTGAAAAATCTGAGTTTTCTCTATTTTCAGTAATGTTAACTTGATTCTTGTAGGTTAAACTCTGGTATGACAAAGTGGGACATCAATTAATAGTAAATGTTCTGCAAGCAACAGATTTGCCACCAAGAGTAGATGGACGCCCCAGAAATCCCTATGTAAAAATGTATTTTCTTCCAGACAGAAGGTAGTAGTACTACAGTTTAGAAAATTGTGTTGTAATTTGCCATGTATTGAATCAACTTTTACTGAATGCTTATGAAGTGAAATACTCCTTTTTCTAACTTGTTGTGGCTAGGTTAATTATTAGAAAAAAATTGCTCTTGAATCATGCAAGTCAGTATCAAATTAACTTTGTGGACTTTGGTTTGAATGTGATCCAATGTACAGCAAATATCTTTTTCTTTTAGCCATTTCTCAGATCAGAAAGAATGAAAACAGTTAAGTTCTGATGAGTAGATGATATCTTGTGATTTGTCTCTGCAAATAATTTACAACAAATATTTCTGTTCCAGTGATAAGAGTAAAAGAAGGACCAAAACAGTAAAGAAAAGTCTAGAGCCAAAATGGAACCAAACTTTTCTCTACTCACATGTACATCGTAGAGATTTTAGAGAACGAATGCTTGAAATAACTGTATGGGATCAGCCAAGAGTGCAAGAAGAAGAGAGTGAATTTCTTGGAGAGGTGATGCACACAATCACATTTCTTTGGAGTTATACATATGCATATGTGTGTTTTATGTGTGTTTAGGTGTGTACTTGGAAAGTAAAATGAAATCTTGATGTTTTTTCTACTAGATTCTTATAGAGCTGGAGACAGCACTTTTAGATGATGAACCACATTGGTATAAGCTACAGACACATGATGAGTCTTCACTACCTCTGCCTCATCCATCACCTTTCATGCCAAGAAGACATGTTCATGGTGGAGAAAGCACTAGCAAAAAGTTACAAAGTAGGTTCAAATTCCATTAAGGTCTTTCAAATTTTAAATTAGAAATGCTGGATATGGTGTAACGGTATTTAAAGTCCATATGCAAGATAAAAATGCCATTTCATAGTCTTTTAACACAGCAAAAATGTGAGGCAGAAAAGAGATGTAAATTAAGACAGTATGGCATGCCAGGCTTCCACCTGTGATGTATAGCTGTAAAGTGTGTGAAACCTGCTAGAATTGATTTGGTTTTCAATAGCAAAAGAAATTGTTAAAACATTTGTTGGCACGAATTTCATTTTAAATAGAAAGATGGAGGTCATAATTTTTAGATACTTTTTTATTGATTTAAAGCATTTTCTCTTTCTAAAAAAAGGAAATCCTTAAAGAACTACAAGGCTTAAAAACACATTTTACATCAGAAAGTCAGTCTCAGCCTTCAGTATACTCATTGTACAATCAGACAAGGAGTGTACTTTTACAGCAAAGAAATTGTGTGCATGAATTTGGGAGGTACATCTCTTCTCATGAGCCTGATGTCAGGTTTGTACAAGGCCTGTTAAAAGAAGGAATGTATTGAAACATTTGAATCTTATAGCTTCTCTCTTCATTCAGATTGATTTCAGATTTGTTTAGAAATATGAAGGGCATAGGGGATTATTTTAAAATACATTACTAAGCTATTTTTGGGATTTTTCTTAAACATGGAAGTAATTCACTCCAGCCAATGTGTAGGAAATCTGTGCACATTAAGGAATGAATTTTAAATATGTAATACTGCTGTAATTGCTGCATACATATCCAAATGGAGAATATGTATAGAGAGAGCAAATTAAAGTTTAGTTTTCATGATACACTGGAGTTTTTCTAAAATCTAGCAGTGCTGCTTCCTCTTCCTCTCTCTCACCATATGCTCCCACATCTCCTTTCCTGGTCAACAAGCTTATTCAGCTTAGTCACTAAAATAGCACAAAAGTTTTTTGTTTCCTTTATTTGAGTTTCACTTTTGTAGGCTTAGTGAGATAAATTATTCTAGTAGAGGATTACTGAGGACTTGAGGGATGGAGAAAGGGAAATGAGACTGCAGCATCTGTAAGATGTTAAATTGGCTCAGCTGTCTGTGAAATGTCTAGTCAGTCACTGCAGTTTGCTTCTCCTCCTCTATTGTTTTGACTTAAAATCAGCTTTTGAGTTTAAGTAGCATGCTATATGAAGATATTCTTACATTTTATAACACGAAGAGATGTTCAGGTGTTTGTTTACCTTACTGTTGTGCAGGATCTCGGCCAATCAGTGATAGTGACATCTCAGATTATGATGTTGATGATGGTATTGGAGTTGTTCCTCCAGGTGCGTGGATGAACAGCATGGTCCTGCTTTCTTCTTCCTCTTCTTTTTTGCTTGTTTGTTTTTGTTTCTTTATAGCATTTTGGAATATTCAGGATACTGTTTTTGGAGAGTGTGTTGCGAAAAAAAAAGCAGTTTTCCTGATTATTTCATTAAACCTGTCCTAAGTTGTGGTGAATTAAAAGATTCTACTATTCATTCACTTATATTTCTTTTGCATATCATTCTTCATATGTGAACCACTAGTTGGTTCAAATTGTTTAATTGCCTAATGCATAACGCTGCAAGCATTATTTAAGATATAAATTTAATTTTAAAAAACCCAGTTTAAAATAGTAATTTATATTTCACTGATTATTGAAAACATTTTTTTATTTGCTTCTTGCTATTTTTGCTTCTTGCTTGAAACTTGGATATAATGCAGTCTCCCATGGACTTTACTGATAATGCATGGCTGTAGCTTGAGGTGCATGTAGCATGGCTATACCTTTTATAGTTTCCATAAGCCTTCATGAACTATCATTACCCTAAATGTTCACAAATATATACTGTTAGAGACTGTCATGGTTTGAATTTTAGTTGAGCATTCCTTACATACTGAAAATCCTGATGACCATCTTGGATACCACATTTTTCTAGTGCTATTTGATTGTTGCCACAAGTCAGATAAATATGTTTCCCAAGTGTCCCAAACTAACTGAAGAGTCACTATGTCATTGCCAGCACTAATTCAGGTTTTTTTGTGGATCTTCATGATGAAAATCACTGAAGTAAATCATGGTAGGATTTGGAAGGATCTCTGTCTTCCTGATCTGTTTAAAATAATCTCACAATTTATTTATCCGTTGTATAACCATACAAATAAATCACATATTTTATTAATGCAGTATCATTGTGATGTTCACTGAGCCAGATTCTCCTTCCTTTAATGCTGATTAGGCTCTTTCCTAACTTTTATACACTTAGCACCTGAGTTGCTAAGAGGGGAAATTTGTTTATGTACCTCTAGTTATGATATTTAATTTGATATTTTTACACCAGCAGAGAGCAAACATTTAAAATGAAAATAAATCATAGTATCTAAATATTTTTTCTGTTTCTTTTATCTTTTTTTTTTTTTTTTGGTAGCTGACAGTGCAGATATTGGCATATTTGTGCAGATTTACTTGTATTTAAGATTTCAGTATACTGTATTAAGAACTGGTACTTAGCTGCCAAGTCCTTCAAGGCATCCAGTTGAAACAAATAATTTTCCATTTGAGAGGAAATGTTCAAAATGATTCACCTGAATGCAGTGGACTCTGTTTACTGGGTCAGCACTTGAGCAACTGATTCTTATTGCAAGTTCTTGGGACTCCGTGCTCAGGTGTGCCTTTGACAAATGCTGGGTCCAAACTTCCTTAGAGATCACTGTACAAAATAGCAGGATTTAACATTTAGAATTGGATTTACAATGAGCTGAGAGTGTCCAAACTGAAAATTGAAGGGCCTGGTGAGAAAAATTCAGTTAGTTGACCTGACCAAGCATGGATTTGTCCATTTTGAGTTGAGTGAATGAAAACATTTGTTCACAATTTAAGTGGAATTCATCTGTCTGTGATTCCTATGTGAAGTGGATATACAAATAAATGTGGTGGTTTTGTTTGCACATACAATTTGAATTCTTCAAAGGGGGTTAGACTTTAGGCACACAGGGGCAAAGAAAATTTGAGTCATCAGCCACAAATATATGACCACCTAGACAGCATATGGAAACATGTTTTGCAGTAAGACCTGGAAAAGATTGCCAGTCCCACAGTCTGTAGAGCTGATCAAGAATCTTAGGCACAGGTTCACAAATGTGACTGGAGACCAACTTCATTTATGCATTTCTACCTTCCTGTCCAACCTTCTTTACTTATCACATTGCTAAATGTCTAAGACTTTGGACTGCTCCCTTCATTTGCACTGAATGAGCAGTGCAGTATATTCTCCATCTGAAAGTCTCCTCTGTTAAAACTAACAAGTTTTGCCTGCAAGTTCCTTGTTCTGCTGCAGGGCCTTTACTCCTGCTCTCCTCCTGCCCTTTAGTACCAGCACCCTGACTTACACCCCAGCTCTTGTCTGGCATGTGGGAAGGAAGAGTGAATATCCATAAAAAGAGGAATGTTGAAATATTTTGGCTAATTTAACCAACATTGGAAATCCTTAAAGCTCTAATTTCAAGTGTTTTACCAATTGATAAGGCAAATGCAGTATTAGAATTTACTAATAACAAATAAAATTATTTCTCAAGAGGTTTCAGCAGCTGCAAAGAATCACTGCTTGTCAATGGAAGTAGACTGATATGTCAAAAATAGTGGCAGTTTGATCAATTCCAGAATATTTTAAGAAAAGTATTTTTCCCTTGTCATATCACAAATCTATCTTATCTTTCATGTAATTGTACCATCCTCATTTTTTATTATTATTATCTTGCAGTAATACACATATCACTTTTTTATCAGCTCATAGAACTGTTCATAAAAGGAGTTTATATCAACAGCTGAAAGTAACTTTAATTTGAAGCTCAGCTTTCACAAAAATTATTTTGACAAGTTTTTGTGGTGTGCTGACATCTATTTACATGAAAAAAATATAATTTAAAATCTCTTAGCCTCTCCTATTATGAAAGGTGCTCAAGCATCTTAAGTATCTTTGTTATCCTGAGCTGGTCTTGTACCAGTCTCTCCGTGTCCATTTTGAACTGGGCAACCCAGTACTCCAGCAGGGTCAGTAAAGGATTTAATAAAACCCAGACATGTTTCAAGGCCTGTTTGTTTACCCAAAACTTCAGTAGCTTTCTTAATTAAAAAGAACAAAAGCTGATTTACAGTTTGCAATGTTACAAAGGGTATTTTTAATAGGCTCTATTGTTTGTGCTATGGGTAGCTCTTCAGAACAGTTTATGTTTCTATCACTTGTAACCTGTATAAATGGTTGCTTTGTATTTACCTTCCTCCTGTAGCTGCAGGGGGACATCAACACCATACCTTGATGTTGTTTGTATTGTCTTTTAAGAAAAAAAATAATTCTGGTATCAAACATTTTTAGAATCCTTTCCATCATCCATCCTGCATCCATTTCCTATCACACCTGACAGTTTCCCATAAGTAACTGAGAAACTTCTTCTGCATAAACTACCATAAGCTTGATTGCTGCTTTCATGCTGGTCCATGCAAAAATTTTCTCTGCTCACCCTGAAGAGCACAGAGCCTTTGTATTTGAGGATATGAGGAAATGTTACTGTTGCTGTCACTGTCATGGTCACTGTGAAAGTATGGATGCAATTTGACCAACTTGACAATACTGGAGCTGATACTTAGGATAATTATGAGTTGCTATTGCTCTGTCTGTTCTGTAAGCTTTGTGTACACACACTGTATAAGTTTCAGGTATTGTTGCCTTGATAGCTTGGCTATGAAGCATATATAGTATAAAATCGTGTTTCTATGCCAGATTTTTAAGTGTACAGGATAATCCTGGGTGAAATTTTTTAGGCAGACTAGAAATACTCCAGAACTATATTTTAAAATGAAATTTACATGTAATTTTTTAATATTTAAAATATATGTATTTCAGTACAATCGCCTAAAGCTTGGAAAGAAGCTTTGGATTACTTTGATTTTAGTGTTGAATAAATGTAAACTACTCTTTGTCATGATAGAGATGACAGGATTTTATCTAACACAAGCTGGTTTGAACAATGAAATATCTTTTAGCACATACAGCTTAGATTTAGTCACCCTGGGAAAGGGAACACATCCAGATTTTGTCATGTGTAGTCATTTTTTCCTTCTCTGACCAAACTCCTAGACATTCTCTGCAGCAATCCTAGTATGTGAGATGAGAAAAATCTCCATTCATGTCCTGAGGGGTTCAGTTTTTTGTTTCAAAATTTGCACCCAATCAGAGGAATCCTCATGTCTCTCTGTAATTTTATCATAGAACTCTGAAACACTCTGTCAGCAGGTAAGGTGCTCCAGCATCACAGTGCCACAAAACCCGTGAAACATCAGAGTCCTTCTTTGTTTAAAGGTTGAAAAACCTCAGTAGATACTTTCATGCATGTTGTCAGACGTTACAGGGCATTAGATTACCTTGGTAAACTGTTGGGCATTTTGGGAAAAAAGTCTGAATGCTTCCTTGATGTTTGTGGTCAGGGTCAGACTTGCAACTGAACAGCTTATTAAATGTCCATGATCAAGCCTAATACAGGCTCTGTATACAGGCCACACTTTTAAAAGAGAGCTATAGTAACTTGGTAGAAGATCAGAGAACTAAAAGAATTATACAAATTATATAAAATATGAAAAAGAAAACCCAAACTTAAAACTCTGTAAGAAGATCCATAAAAAGTGCAATGGTATTAATTTATCCAATTGACAATTGAGTGATGAAAGCATAGTATCTTCCTGTGTGAAAGATTTCTGGTACAAGCTGGTTTTTTCAGCTGAACAAAATAACACATTGCAGGAATTTCAATGCTAGACAAATTCAGAGAAGCGACAAAATTATTATTGTGGAATCTAAGCAAGAATTTGAGAAGTGATTAAGGGATGACTTTTTCTATCATTAAGGGATTTTCTGTCAAAGGATTCTTGTAATCTAATTTAATGTCTAGAAGTGAGCAAGTGAAGTCTGAGCAGATCTCTTTAGGCTCTTTTGGAAAGATAACAAGTACCTTTTGAGAGCTGTTGTCTTATTGAGCTTCACTGTCTGTTTTGTGATGGGATTCAAAGTGTATAACTAGGCAGTGTGCCACATGGGAAAAGGCACAGCAATATCAGTGATTCAAAATGTACCAACATTCTGCTGAGTTGTTTTTTTTAAATCCTGTGTAAAAACTAACTGCGAGAAACTTTGCAGCTTATTCACAGTATTTGGAAAAAATGTTCAGCAAAGCATGGAACACCCAGTATTCTGTACAGTGTACTCTAAATGTTAGTAATTTTTTTAAATAGGTGGCTTTGGCCAAGTTCAGTAGAGCATCTTATTTAACTGGAAAAGAGGCAGAAAGATGCTTAATATATGGGCAGTCCTCTGTGAGTCTATGCTGTCAGGCAAGTATGCTTTCTCCATTGTTAGATAAGGTAAACCTACACTGTTTAGATTCCTTTCAAATATTTGCTATTGTATGGCAATTTTTGAAATACAAGATACCCCAAGTCAAAAAAAATATTTCAGTCACCTCCTCCACTACGTCCAGTGCATAATGAAAATCGTAGTTTTTCAGTCTCTGTACGTGTAGACATTTAAAGGTAATGCTAGTAATTTATCCTGCATGATACATCGAGATACAACAGCTGAGTGATGACTTTGGAGTTGTGTAAATGTTTAGTTATGTGCTCCTGGAAAACTAGCCATCTGAATTCTTTCCAAACCCAGACCTTTATTCTCTAATTTCCTTTTGTTACCCTCTTGCCAGTAGGTTATAGGTCTAGTACTAGAGAAAGTAAATCCACAACGCTAACTGTGCCAGAACAGCAAAGAACAACACATCATCGTTCACGTTCTGTGTCTCCTCACCGTGGCGACGATCAGGGCAGGCCCCGTTCACGTTTACCAAATGTGCCATTACAGAGGTAGGCATCACAAAGCTTCTCTTGTTCAGCAATTTTCCACTACTTTAAAGCTTTTTTTGTTAGGTTTTTTTTTCATATCTAATAGCATAGTATTTGAACTTGATTTATGCTTTTATTAATCATTCAAGGGCACTCATGGGATGAATCCTAACTTTGTAAGACATACCTCTTCTTACTGATATTTACTCTGTGATTCATCATCTGTGTACCGTAACTAATACGAAGGTTTGGATTTTTTATTTTCAGTCAGTGGCTGAATATATGAAGCCACTTCATTATGTTTGTTGGATGATAAATAGTGTCATGTACAAATTGTATAATCTGTACTGGCATTCTTTTAGAAATCATGTTTTAACAATTCACTGATTGAAAGCTTCCTTCAACCAACTTGCACTGCAATCCATTGAGCTGTGTTATTCATGAGAAAACAGGATCATCATACATATCTCTGCCTTTCAGGAGTTTAGATGAAATTCATCAAATGAGAAGATCACGTTCTCCAACTAGACACCATGATGCCTCCAGAACTCCGGTTGATTACAGATCCAGAGAGATGGATAGTCAGTATTTGTCTGATCAAGAAAGGTACATCGTCAGCTGGAACATCGAAAAAAGTTTACAAATGTCTTTGTTGGTTTGCCTGCTTTTTGAGTTGTCACTGGAAATGTGACAGCAGTGGGGAACAGAGAGAAGTCATCCTAACTGGCTGATCTAGTGCCATGGTTAAATTATCTATGCCATTTTTCAGTAAAACCACACACTGGGTTGACAGTAATAGCAGCTGTCTAGACTAATGATTCTTGGGTGTTTGTCCTAGAGTGTTCTGCTGAGTTTTCTTTGGTGAATGAAGCCTAGAGATTTTTGGTAGAAAACCAGAAATCTACGTGTATGCCTTAGCTATTCTTCTAACTCAGAATTTACCCATTTTGGTAGCCAGCAAAATACCAGGCATGCATTCCTATTAGTTGGGACTTGCATGTGCTATGATTTGCATTCATATTCTTATAGATTTCAGACATCTACATAAGCAGTTTCACAAGATCTTATGTGACATTCTGGTGAACTTGGTACAGTACTCAAACATTACAGGAATAGTTGCGGTGCTAGTTGTAATTTGTAAAAATTTCCAGTCTTAGATGTGTGACACGTACACATCTCTCCCTGGAATACGTGGAGTGGCTAGACTCCTCAGAAAACACTTGGTCCCTCCTAGTAGGAACTGTTTTCAGGTATCTAGGAATAATATTCTGATAAAATGGAAGAAACTAGAATTTTTGTTTAGTTTATAGCTGAAGAAAATTAAAAAAGGTATTTCAGTTCAGTATTTGTGAAACTCAATTATGACAGTCACATAGATATCAATGATTGTGGGTTATTGTTTACTTAAGAAAAATCATGCAGCTAATATATAATGGCAGACTCTTACCATTAAGATCAATTGTCTTAGTAATGTCTTTGATTTCCTTTTTTTCTTGGCAGTAAGAAAGCATTTGTTATCACTAAGGATGGAAAAATCTTTCCAAATTATCCAGTAAATTGAATACAGAACATACATATCATAGTGATGTGGAAACATCTAAACAGTAAATCATAAAACTCTCTGGAAATCTATGTCCAATTTTGAATCAACATAGAGATTGAATAACAGATGTCTTTTGCAGTTAAACTAGTTCAGTTTTGTATATGATCTTGCCTGGTTTACTTCTGTACTATGGTAACATATATATGGGAATTAATGAGTTATTTGGAACATTTTGAAATTCAACTTGATAGGCAAGAAGTGTGTACAGAATTGACTAAGTTGGACTGTTGCACTGAATTTCCTTTCAGAAGTGAATTAAATGCTTCTTAAATGTAGTAGTCAGATTTATAGTTTAGCTAATTGAAGTAATATCCACTTTTGGCAAATGTACTGTGTTATTACAAGTAATGACATAGTCAAAAGATTTCTGAAGGTATATATTGAATAGATTTGTTATTCAACAGGTTTGAAGAGGAAGAGGCTTCAAAAAGTAGCTTATGTCCGTAGAAATGTTGCCAGTTATATGTCTAGAAATTGGTCTTTGAGTAAAGCCTCAAACCATGACATAACTGGTGATTTATGCGTGGATTGAAGCTGGAGAGGAGCAGGGATTATATTGAGGTCTTCTTGGGGATAAACCATCAAACCAGAGCCACAACAGCATCAGGCTGCTGGATTAGTTCAGAGAAGTGAGACAGACCAGTTCAGAAAACTTCTTCAGAAGTTGAAAGAGAAGGATGTATGTGGCTTATTTACAAGATTTAAAGATGGGTCCATATACTGACTCTCCTTGAACAATAACCTTGTCTGCAGTGATTTCCTTTTTCCCATTTTTCTTTTCATCTTTTCCCCAGATTTATCAGTTATGGAGACTGTTTAACCCTTGCAGGATTCACTGGCTTTCAGTACATAAGAGCAGCGTCATAAGAAAGATAAAACCAGATATTTTTTGAGGAAAATTCTCTGTCACAATCAAGAATTTTAGAAAAAAATCTTAAAGTACTATGTATTAGCATCAAGGATAGTATAGGTATTGTGTTGTGCATTTACCAAACAAGTACATTCACATAGATAGTTAATATAAACTAGGTTTGAAAGTTGAGTAATTAACCAATAGTTACATGGCAGAAATTCCAGCTGCTGATTACTTATGATCATTTTCTTAATGATCTGTTATTGGTCCCAAATTAATATGGTTATCCTGAAGAGATCTTTGTAAAAATAGTTCTTGTAAATCTTACAAAAGCATCTGGTGTGATAAATTTCCAATGGAATTGGTTTGACCACCCTAAGTTTTTAGTATACATTTATATACATATATACACATGTGTGTATATATATAAGCTGTTAGGAAAAGCATTTTATTAGAAAATTTATTAGACAACTGTGAGTATCTTCTCACATTATTGGTGTTCTACCCTGATGGATTCTTTTGCTTTGTTTTTTAAAGTGAAGATGGTAGATTTGTTATTTTATATCACTTTTCTGGATGAATTTTATATTACTGTTTGTTATGGGCCAATTGCAATAGATTCTCTTTGGTTTAGCAAAGGCGAAGCAAGTATTAATGAAGTACCTTATGATTTCATGTGGACTTTCCATCTACTTCGCAACTCTAAAGAAAAATTGTACTTTTTTTCTGAAAATGCAAGTTTGTTTGTAATTTGGAAACCTGGCATATGGAATCTAAAAATTCAGTTCAACTTTAGTACATTTTGTTGCATCAAAGTCAGGCTAGTGGCTTCAGATGCAGTAAAATCTCACACCTGACTCACAGGCCATTATTTCAAGCTGCCCAGTTTAGAACTTTAGATAAATATTGCCTATACTGCATCTATGAATTGGAACATTTTATAATGGCATGAAGCATAAAACACATTGAACAAATGCTGCTTTATCTGTTTTGTAATCTCTTCTCTCTTTTTTTTTTTTGCTATAGTACTTCATAGGATTCCCTGCTCCTTTTAAAATTAGCATGTTTCCATGAAATTTACCTTTAATCTCATATTTGTGATAATTAGGAGGTTTGGAGCTTGTCCTTTCTGATTGTGTTCAAGTGCATAAAACTACAAGATTAATTCAAGGGATATTTCATATCATAGCCATATTTCCCACAGGCATAAATATGTATTAATTTTACCATCTTGCTGGCTGTAGTATGTGTTTAGTTCCAGTAAATGAAAAATAGAATAGATGGCTGATTTTCCTTAATTTGAAATGATAGCAGGCAAAAAGTCTGATGGCTGATTAGCATTTTTTTTTGTTTCTTTAGGATTGCATTACAAAATACCATCAAAGCTATGAGTCAGAATTTATGTTTGACAAAACATAGTATTTCCAGTGAACATGTATTTTTGTTTTTCCTGTAAGGATGACTGGGCTACTCTTCCCATAAATGGATCTGCAGTAAATCATTATCAAACCCTCCCTGCTTTTTCATGTATGATTGGCTTAGGAAGCCAGAAAACCCAACCCAAAACAAATAATAAGCTTTGTTTTTCCTGAGGTATTTTTTCATAATTTAGTTCATGAAACAAGAGGTTATTAGAAAACTGTAGCCATTTTATGTTTTTGTTTTGTGATGAAGAGCTCTGAAAAAGTAATTCTGAATTTTAATGACAAGCATCAGAAAACTAGGTGCCATGCTACAAGGAACTTGTTAAAAATGTAGTTATTAGAGGCATTTTTTGGCTCATATTCTTTGAGAAGTGCAGTCTTAGTCTGAACATTATCAGACTGCCTGGGTGGATGCTTCTTGTTTCTTTTTATGTTTTCATTTGCATATCATTGCCATAACCCATGTCATCTAATGCTTCATAATTATATCTGTTTCACTCACCACCCATCCTGTCTGTGCAGTGAGCTTCTTATGCTGCCCAGAGCAAAACGAGGAAGAAGTGCAGAGTGCCTACATACCATCAGGTAAATACAGGAATTTGGTAATCATGAACACATCTGGTTAGTTGTCTATACTTTGTGTGCCCAACCTTTTTTTCCATGGTGGTATTTAGTCCCACTTCCAAGTACACTGTGATCCAGCTGTCAGCTGTTCTTTTTCTGTATGTTTTAATTCAGCTTGAGATGTGTATATATGTTTGTGAACCTCAGTAGTAAGGGATAAAGCAGTTGAAGAAATTCTGTTGTGCGGTTGTATTTTGCAGTAGATTTTCCGTCTAGTCACAAAAGTTCTGATCTGCCAATGCATGATAGCATTGTTATAATTTCAAACATTCACTTTTAGTTGGTTTTATGTTTTCTTTTGTTTGAATTTTTATGTTTATATTATGACCATGCACAATTGAACCACCTTTACTTGTGGCACCTAATCTCATCCTGATTTAGGCACTTGTAGAGAAAAAACCCATAGATTTATGAGGGCTTACCAGGAATCCAATATTTGAGGGGTCTTGTATTACTTGGCTTGCATCTAAAACTTGTTCTATAAATTGGATCCAGATATAAACTCTGTAGTTTGAGCCCAACTTCAGTATTCATTAATCTCTCGCTCCAAAGCTTGGAGCTACTCATCTCACCATTTCCCAGTGTTGTGAAACTACTCAGGACTGAAATATCTTCATCTAAAAAAATCAAATTCTGCTCCCCACCCCTTGCTTTTTTTTCACCATGACTGTTAACCTTGTTAAAAATACATGCCAAATTGCACAGAATATCTTCCATTTAGAAACAATAAAAATGTAGGTTGAAGTTAAAGTAGTTAACCATTCAACTACTTCAACCATTAGTTAACCATTTGTCTGTTTGGGACCTGAGTGTTGCTAAGTTTTATGTCAGTGGTATATGTTCGAAACCATCAAACTTAAAACCATGTCATCTAGTGCACTTATTCATTTACTTACTGTAGGATTTCCCCCCTACAAAGTAGTGTTTGTTTTGTGTAATATACTTTGGCTTGCTTTAATTTTCATCATCAAATTTGAAACAGCATTGAAGATGCTGTGATAAAGTGTTGTAATAAGGCACAGTAGTATATAGCTAAAATAATAAATCATTGAATCATGGAATCATCGAGGTTGGAGGAGGCCTCTAAAATCATCAAGTCCAACTATTAACCTGCCACTCTGCTTTAACCCCTAAGCCCTAAACCATATCCTCCAGCACCAGAACCAGACACCTCTTAAAATCAAGTATGAAAAAACTATGAAGCCTTTAAAAAAATTTGTGAAGCTGTTAAATTAAAATTTAAGTTTTTATTACCAGTACAAAGATTTTCATTCTCATACTTCAGCTGTTTGAGGCATTTTCCTCAAGATTTTAGATTTTAAAGATTAATAATTTATTTCACTCCCTCTTATTTTTTTCTGTTTATTGTCAAATAAGAGCAATTTTTCCTGCCTCCTTCCTATGTCCTTTCTGCTGCATCTTCTATTGCTTCAGCCCCCTCCTGCCACCAGCCCTGTGCTTTCTTCTTTCCCTCTTAAAGATCATAATTGTCATTAGAATTCTTCAATGACAATGCTTAAATTCTCCCTTAATTAATGAGGTAAATATTGTATTATGAATGTTTGATGCACTTTGCCCAGCCATTATAGCTTTCCAATAGTTTTGCAAATCATCTCAACATTCTGGTCAGGTAACCAGCTGAGAGTTGTGCGTGGGCAGCAGTAGAGTTAGGTAAACATGACACTGAATTCAGAGAGTACAGCCCTTGCTTGCCTTTTTCCTTATTCCATTCGTTGCTATTGGGATTTTATGATCTAAAACCTAACAAATTCACCCTTTTGAAGGAGTAGTAACAATATACTATAAAACAAAATGGTACTTATAATGAAATATTGAAGGTGAATATAAAGGCAATAGAAAAATATAGATTGATTTTAAAAAATTTAACTCCCAGGCTTATGCAGCCTAATCCCAGATAATACCCCAAAATTGCCAATATCCATTCTTGACTGAATAACTTCAAAAACAGTTTCAACAAAAATTTGTTTTATACCATCTTTTGTCCCTGCTTGTTTCTAGTGGCCTGGCATTTATTCATGTTAGAAATATTAGAAGGCTTTATCCTTGTTTCCTAGGCAGCTTACTAAATAATGGTTTGATTAGTTGTCGAGACACCTTCAGCTTAAAATAGGAAAGAAATGTTAAGAGCTCCATGTTAAATGTAAGAAATACCAATATCAGGTCATCTGAGCTACAAAGTTAAGATATACAGTCAGTTTAAAACACCAGTTTGGAATAATTCTAGTCCTAGCTGTCCATCCTGTCCATCTGTATGCAATTATGGACTAATTGCAGAAATGGTGGAAAGGTGTGTACCTATGCTATATATCATGGGTTGTTATTCCATGTCTGAGGTCACTCCTCTTTGTTTGGTAATATCTGCTTGTATCCCAGCATTGACCTGATGGAGAATCATTCCTTTATTCCTCCTTTGCAAACAGTGACCTCTGATAGAGGTGTCACCAGTGATGACTACTAAACCCCTACAAGAAGGATCAAAGCTCTTCTGATAGTTCCCTCAGTGGTTTACAAACACTAAGGTTGACAGAGAGTTGTTTCATCTGTCTGTGACACAGTCAGGTTTGTAATGTTGATCTGCTGTGTCTAGGTCCAAACCTTAACAGGAATCAAAATATCCTGTTAGGACAGAGTGTTCTTGAAGCTGCAAAATCCTCAAGGCTGCTGGTTCTTCTCCTAATAGCACTGCAGCTGTGTCGTGGTAGGGTATGTGGAAAATTGTTAGAATTTTGTTATTAACCCTTAACCACTAAATGGCCATAATTCCCATTCAGCAGCCACTGTCTGCCTGGAATCCTCTCTCTTGTTCAGTGGGCAGAGCTGGATGATAAACATTTCCTGTTCTAAAATCTGTGAAACTATTAGACAGTTATCGTGTAACACCTAAGTGCTGCTGTGCTGGCTGATGTAGTAGATCTCCAAAGTTTTTTAATTAGCTTATTATTAATAGCATTTAATTACTGGTATATTTTGATCCTGATCCACTGCTTTCAAAAGACTTCCACATTCAAAAAAGCCAGACGCTAATACATCTATAATTAAATTTGTGATACTGTTTATCTCTCTTTATCAAGCTTTTCGTGCTTAGCTACTGAAGAGGTTAAAGTCTCTGTAGGTCTAATTAAGGCATTGCTAAGAAATAAAGAGCAAATCTAATATCAAATCCTTTACAACACTCTGTATATTTTGATTCAAAATATCTATAAATGGAATTTAGATTACTTTCATTTCAAGGAAAACATCTGAGCTGTACTAGTATTTTCATGAGTTCATGCACTGTATTAAGAAAAGTGTAAATCCAAAAAATGTTCCCCCCAGAGTAGTCAAGAAAAACATATACTGAGATATCTACTGATATGGCTATAAAATGTAATAGAATATTATGCATTTATTTTCTGTTCTGGTCAGTCTTGGCTTGCTTTTACCTGTCTTTTTATTTCTGGCATGTTTTTGTGTTCTGTTTTCTTTTCCATCCCACTACATTCAAGAAGTTCTGTTAGGCACTATAAAACATTACCACCCAAGATGCCTTTACTAGAAAATGGTACTCATTGGAACCTGTACAGGTAAGAATTATTTAGAGTCCCATTTTAGTAGCTAGCTCCCTTTTTTTAAAAACAAGCTTGCCTTGTTAAATAAAAAAAAAAAAATCCCCAAAAAACATTTAATGTTTCATACATTTTTGTAACTGAGAGATAAGGAATAAAATCCTAAAATAACCTCATGTTATTGTTTAAATGAACACCTATGTTACAAAAAAAAAAAACCCCAAACCAAAGTACTTTGTATTGAGTGGAGTTGTCTTCACTGTTATAATTATATGTTGCATGGTTTTATTTGTTACATTCTGTTGTTTATGTATAAGAGTTTTGTTACATGTCAAATTTATTTTCATTTTGTTTAAATAATTTTAATTTACAAAGCTCAACTCTTCCTGCATGCGCTAAGACCAAACCCGTGATTAGACAGGATATTTCACTCCTTCATGATTGCCTTAATTCACGAATATCGAAATTTGGAGATGATCTACTGGTTAGGTAAGAACCTGAGGATTAATCCCCCCTCCTGTTTGGTATCTAATATGGATTTACAGAATAAATGAGCTTCACTGTAAAGGGATTTCACATGACATATAGTGTATCACATTCTTTTATGTTGGCTTGAGATTTACTGCTGTTAATAATAAGGATTTAAATTTATTGTTTGATATTTCTCATTCCACATTTCTTACAAGTGGATGCTGTTCCATGTCATTCAGTTTGAAGCATTTCAATATCTTTGCAAAAAATTTCTAGCAGTCTTTTGTTTGCTTTTATTTTCTAAACAAAGCTTGACATTATCATCCAGTCAGCTCTTTTATGTTTTCCTTAATTAAATCATTGTGATTCTACATTTTCTGTAAAGAGAGCATTATCTTCTATGTTTGCCTTAATTAAATCATTGTGACTCTACATTTTCTGTAAAGAGAGCATTATTTTATGAGTTAATATCTAACATTGTATTCCTTTCTTTGTTTTCTTTTTCTTTCTCTTCTACCATTGGATGCAATGCACTGGCACTAGTGAACTGCAGCCCTCCCTTGACAGGGCTAGGAGTGCTAGTACCAACTGCTTGAGACCAGATACTAGTTTGCATTCACCAGAACGAGAAAGGTATAAAATAAAAACTTATGAATTTCTTGTCTTCTGTGCTGGTGATTTTTATCAGTTTTGTTTTTCTCCATATGAGTACTCTACATTCTTGTACATTTGTGTCTGCTTTGGTATTTGTAGACATTGCTCCTATATTCATGTATGTCATGTAAAATGTGTGTTGGAGTTTATAACTGCTTCTGGCTACTTTCCTTGTTTTAGTTCAAGCTGATGTTCATTGTTTACAAAAGTCCTCAGTATGCTGATAATAGCGTTGCAGTGTGACGTATTTCGAAACTACCACTTGGTTGTGAATCTTCATCATCATTTGCTAAAAAGTATTACGTTTGTTTCTTGCTTGTTCTGTGGGCTGCTAATAAAGCGGTGGCATAAATTATAAATTATGACAAAACTCTCATTTGTCAAACCAGAACTGTAGTTTGTTTAGTGATATAATTTTTATAAAACAGCCAAACTTCATTGCTTTCTAAATCTAATCTGCAAATCACTCATTGAGGGTTTTTTTTTCCCTTTGTGACATTATATGAAGGTTCACATAAGTCTGGAGAAGAAACATTTACAGTTTAAATGACATACTGCTGTGGCACATATATTGTGCAGGCATGTTATGGATGCTTTCTGTGGTTTTAATATTTCAATAGCTTGGTTCAAATTTTTTAGGTGAATCCAATACTGCTGCTGTGTTTGAAAGATGGGATGATTCCACAAGGGAACTTTTCATCACCATCTGGTGGTTTAGGCTAAGAATTATACCATTTTAGAATGAGATTCTAGGTTCACTAAAGGCAATAATAGGCTCCCTTTGAGTGGGAGTATGATGAAATTTAAATTTAATCTGTGCAAAACATATTTCACTAGTGTGGCAGTTAATAATGCTTTTTCAGCCACCTCACAGTGTGCTGGTTGTAACTGTTGCATCATTTCCTTTATTGTGGGAGAGGACATGTGAAAAAAGGCACTGGGAATCTATTTTTCCCTTTGAGATAGGGTCATCCTAAGATTTTTTTTTTAATCTGAAATTTCCCTTTCCCTCCTCCCCACTTCCTTCTGCACGTCTACTGGAGCTTTGCTTTTCTCAAGTTGTGCCCTTGTTGTGGAGGAATGACTAAGGTTCTGCTGAGCCATCTCTGATTGAGCTCAAGACATTGCAGATAACATGAACATGGTTATTGAAAAACAACAAAAAAAGTTTGGCTGAAGTAAAGCCAGCCAGAATGAAATGTAGTATATCATTCTAATTTTAAAAAAAACATATTGTAGCATCATATTAATAACTGAGTGTGTAGACAATATGTTTTGTACTTATTTCAAGATGCCACCCATCAAGTTGAATATTCAACAGTAATTGGCACTTGTAAACTCTCTAGTCAAAATCTTATACTCAAAACTACATCTGTCACTGATGTCAACTAGTTCTTTTATGTGTTTATAATTCATGTCCAGCAGCCTCTGCCCAATGGGCACTGTGCAGAATCTGCAGCACTTTTCATGAGCTCCTTGTAAAGAAGTGTTTAACTTGTGTTAATGGCCACTATTACTACTAAACATGTGGCTTAGCCAAATCACCAATGGACCTGATCCAGAAAAATTGTCCATCACTATGAAAGATTTTCTTCTTAGATTTTAGAAGTTCTCAATAAGTGCTTTTGACTTGGGATCCTTCATAGGGCAGATAATCTCTTTTACAGGAAATTCATACTCATATTTTTCTCGATGGCTTTGTTGAAAATAGTAAGATCTGTATGGCTCTGACAGAGGATTTAGGACATACTCCTGTCCCCCTTCCTTCTGACATAAAAGATATTTTTCCCATACAGCCCAAGTTTTGAAGAAAGACCTTATATTTAATATTTAAAACCTACTTGAATGAATCTTTTTATTTTGGGGGAAGAAAACTTTAGGAGATTTAACTCTCCGCTGTTGAATGCATCTGCTTACACTTTAACATGAGGTTAGTGACCAGTTGCCTGTAATGACAGAGAAGTCTTCAGATTGAAGAGCACAGAATTAAGTTCCAGGTCTATAGAAAGCATTTTGGTTTTGTGCTGGACAAGACAAGAACAAAGGACTTAAAATACAGTAAGGCAGGTTCACTTTAAATGGTAGGAAACCTTTCTTGAAAGCAAGTATAATGAAACACTGCAATAGATGGTATGGAAAAGGTTGTCTTCATTACTGGAGACTAAGAAGAGATGAGACAAACAGTCATCAGGTGTAGGTCCTACTTGTAGTAAAGAGGAACACTGTGTGGTTTTGTGAAGTCCAATCCACAGCACCACTTTATTGTCATTGTATTTGAGGGACCTATGTTGAAGGTATTGTTATTTTTGTGGTGTTTCTTCTCCCCTCTCTCCTCCATGAATGACAGCGTAGATTTTATTTAAAAACTTAGACTTTTATGCTTCCAAATACAGACTTCTAAATATGGTTTTGAATATTTTTGTGAACAAAGTTAGGAGTATACCACCCATGGAAAATTATTTCTACTTATTGCCCCTAACCATTTGTCTCAGAGGGTTAGATTGTATTTGAGATCAAGAGTCAAAATGGGCCACTTGAGCTTTTTTTAACAAAATTGTATTAGTTGTGTGTAACTGATAGACAGCAGAGACCTATTTCTCTCTGTCAATGATTTATTGGAAATAGTTTTTATCCTTGAACTCTATACATCATTCATGTAATTTGGATCAGAGTAGTTTCTGGTTTTGAAGATGCTGTTTTGCCCGTAAAAGTAATTCTATTGACTCATTTATACCAGCAGAAAAATACTTTCAGCAGAATATGTGAATTTGTAACATACATGTCTTTCTAGTTGCAATAAACCATAACCAAAACAACAACAGCAGCAAAATTCCTTTTCTGCTAGAATTTCCATCACTTGAGCAGAAAACGTCCATATAACCTGACTGGCAAACTGACCTTGCCCTGACACAGGCCTGCCAAAGATTTTTGCTAAATAGCTTAATCCTTCTATATGCTCCTCTTTTGCACAGTATACTCTAGGACATTCAAAAATATCCAACCCTTACTAATACCTCTATAGAGTTGCACCATGCCTGCCTTTGTTTCCTCTTTCTCTTTGTACCTCCACCCCCCTATTTAATCCAAGCTGGTTTGTGTTTTGTTTTGTTTCAAAATGATTGTGTTGTTGAAATTCGTGTGGTGATCTGCAAGGCATATGTAAGTTTGTACTATAGTCATAAATGTCCTGTAGTGCCATTGAAAATGTTTTTGCTACTACTACTTCCTCTAGTATGGTTTTGTTTTTCTTATTGTCCTTTTCACTGTCTCTCAAAATTTCTTCTTCTTTTTTTTCCTTTTAAATTGGGTGCTTTTTGTTTAGAACAGAGAAATTTGCAACCTTCAGTCTCCAGTCAGAAAGACATCTAGGCATGAGGTTTAAGGGCAGAATCTGAACTAACTCAGCAATGGTTTGTCATCATGATAGAATCTTCCCCAGACTGATTTAAGACTGTGATAGTCACTTAATCATATGGAGAGTGGCTTTTATTTACCTGCTAAATTTCTTATGAGTTGCAAGCAATTGTTGTGTGTATTAGCATTTGGCACAAGATCAGATATACAGTTTGGTACTTGTATGCTTTTCTCCTGAGAGGTTAGTTAATGGAGATCTGAGCCAATAATTCCAAGGAGCACAGCCCAGGGGTTAGTTCATATACAACAGGGTCAGCATACCTACAAAATACAGTCCTGCAGCTGTGTTAGATTTGTTCTGAGGTGCTTCTCTGCAGTTGGAATCAAAACAGGATGTTTGCTATAAGCTGGTCACAACCACCTAAACAAGAGACAAAGTTGAACCATAAGGAGGTAACAGGGAAGTTGGAGCTGTCACTTGATCCAATGAAGGCCTGTCCTGATTTCATGTTGATTTTTCCAAGTCTGAAGTATTAGGTGTTTATATTATATGCCTTTCACAGTTATGTTGCATATCCCCATTTACATATAAAATAATGTCCAGTGAAATAACTGTTTGCATTAGGTCTGCAACATATTGTGTTGCAAGTTCTTTTCAACCATGTAAAGAAGTAGGTTATTACATGTTTGTGTTGTACTGTGGCTCAGTCATTCACCATTTGGTGAAAGGGACCATGTTCTCAAAGTTCATACTGAATGACCTACTTAATTCTTTCAAATGCTCTTTAATATTTGTAGTGGATATCAGCATATTAAGGGCTTTGATTGAGTGCACTGATGCATTAACATTTTCTTTAACTCTCAGTTTGGAGAGAAAAAGAAACTACTAACAACCTGCTTGCTCTTAAAACTTCTGACAGACCTTTCTAACTGTTCAAGTAATGCTAATCTCCCTGAAACCTTTGTTATTTGCATGTTCCATAAATCAAACGCTTTTCATTATTCCATGGACTGGAAGAATGCCTCAGAAAGGGAAATATTAGATAGTTGTGCAGAGTTTATGCAAACATTTTGCTATATGCAAATAAATCAGTACCTTTTGTTATTGTAAATTGTTATGTGTACATTTGTACAATTGCAAACACATAACATCTCAACAGAATAAGCAACACCAGTCTATTATATAGTATATAGAATTCTAAATTAAATGAGCTTATTCAAGAAAAAAAATCGTGTAATACCCCAGTTTTCATTCTCAATTCAAGTCCTTTTTGTTAAATTTAATTATGCAACATAATGTACTGGCATGTACTGCAGTGTTACAGAGAAATGAACAGAAGAGGAAGCTGTTTGCACACCCTTTGAATCTGTATGAATAATAAAAATTACCCCAGTACTTGTACACAAATGAGTGGCTTAATTGTAGCTAATTAATTTCCCTATACTCTTTCACTGCACTCCCAAAAAGAGTCACTTTATGCCCTAGAATTTTTCTTATAAGTCATAGTCCTACATTTGTTCTGAGATTGCATTTTTCCATGCAAAGGGCTAGGAGAGATGGCCTTAGTGAAATACCAGGAAAATGACCATCATATGGTCTTTGAAAAGCTCTTCTAGTTTGGAATTGCTGGTTCCTTTGTGAATGACAGGCCTTTAAATAGTCTAACATTTGAGAGTATTTGAAAACTTAATGGTACACCATGTAAAGGATTTATGCTTGACTAAATTCTGCATCTTCGGCATGTGTTCGCTTCAGATGTAATGCTTCTGCAGTAAACAGCCTTAAGAGAAAAATATACTTGGTTATTCGAGAACCGTTAGAAAAAATAATTACATTACACACTTTCATTACTTTTTGGCGTATTTTTCCAGTCCCAAATCCCATATATTTAATTTTCTCACAAACTAAATGTCCTATTTTTTTCCTGTTTTATTGAACGGGCAAACAGGGGTAGATGGTCCCCCTCCCTAGAGAGGAGACGACCTACTAGTCCCAGGATTCATATCCAGCATGCATCTCCGGAGGATGACAGGTACTAGTCAACTCCTCCCAGTTGAAAAATGGCTTACAGCATCTTGCACTCAGAGGAGTATACTGAAATTTTAAAGTATGCACATATGTGGAGAGAGAGCCTTACAACCTCCAGAAGCAGCCCAAAATAAAACAGCAGCTTAGATATCATCTCTGCATTTTGTTGAGCTGTTATAAAGCACCTAGGAATTAACATCTTCTCAAGTTTTCTGTTTGTCTGAGTGGTCACAAGCCACGAAATAAGGTGTCTGATGCAACAAAACACCATTTGTGCTAATGTTCTTTAGTCTGGTTTTACCTTCTGTCAGTGGTGCTGGTGCTTTCACTGTGGTGCTTTATAATATGATGACTATTTGTTGTAGAGCATATTCTTGTATACATGTTTATTTTCATTGGTTTTGTTTATCTTCTTTTTTTTTAACAAACTGTTTCCAATGGGATAAAAACCCACAAACTGATTTGTTGGAGGTCTTGGTAACACTTTGTAGTTGATATAGGTAAAAATAGGCACTGTTTGTAAATTCTGTCCAAATCAGGATGGTCTCCATGGAGCAAGTTTTCCTACTAAGGTAGGTTTTCATTAAGAACATCAGGGATTTAAATAAATTTTCATGCTGAATATCCCCAGATTTATAGAAGCACCTTTGGTTTTTACATCTCATGAGCTTTCTAATCACATTGGGTTTGGTATTCCATTGCTTTGGCAGTAGGAATTTCTTTGTTGGTTTGTTGTTTTTGTTTTCAGATAGATCTGGGTGGATTTTAAGCAGACATTTTAATTTCTATTGAAATTCAAATTCAAAATATTCCCTTCAAAGCTTTTGCATTACAGTAAGTGACAGGATGCAGACGGTTTATTTAATTAACCTGAACATGAATTTAGGAAGTTGCACTTAAAACTCTAAGACTGGTATAGCAATAAAACTCAGTTACTGTAGTGCTAGTGTTTACCTTCTGCTAAAGAAGTCTATCCACAGTATTGGTATTTGTACTGTGATTTATCTTGTTTGCTTGATAGTGGATATATTCTAATAATACAAGGTGCAAAGAGTGTAATTGTGTTTGGATAGCATTTCTTTTTTTCACTTGAGTTAGACAGATACTGCGTTTCCAGAAATTTTGTCAACACTTCCCTTTGATGGGACAGCTATTAATAGTTTACAAAAGTACTTTGTGTCTTTTAGGCATTTTTAAATAATTTGGTTCTTGTTTTTTCAGTTGATGGAAAGCTTGCCTTTGTCTTCAGAGTATCAGACTTGGCAAAATCATGTGGTCACTGAAGCAATTCAAATTAAATCATAATCATATCATGTATCAGTGAAAGGAGGTTTTTTATCTAAATAGTGCCATTCCCAATGTAGAATTGTAAGCCTTTTGATGTCAGCTGAAATTTTCTGGAGAAAGACTGAAATAATCTAATGCCTGTTAACAAACATTGTCCAGTAAAGCATCTGAAGGATAAAGAGTGTTATGGGAAAGATTTTAAGTTGGATAAACAGCAGCCTTATCTTCTAAGTGAAATCAGCACCTTCTTATGTTTCTAAGTCTTGCATGCAATCTGGTCACCAAATCCCAGTGATGCAGTCACTGATGAACTCAGAAGGAGTGTAGGCTAGTCTCAATCCTGAGCAGTGTTTGCAGCCTACTAGTTCCAGGATCTTTCTCCCAGATTAAGAGAAGTTCTGAGAGCATCTGACTCTATGCGTTGCATGTCCAATACAAAATAGTAGCCCACCTTGTCTGTAGAGGGAGTATCAGTGAGGGAATCAAAGGTGCTTTACCTTTGTTTTCTGTGCTCTAAGTTTACATTGGTTCTGATTATTTCCCACATTTATTACGCTCTAAGTTTACGTTGGTTCTGATTATTTCCCACATTTATTGTGTTGGGCCAACACTACTCAGTTCTATAATTTACTCGGATCAACTTGACAACTGAAGCTGTGTGTTGGGGAATGACTGATGGATCAGCAGGGCTAGCTAACAAACTGCTTATCACCACTTTCAAATCATGTTTCACAGATTAATTTGACTTTTGACAAATGTCATCTTACTCTTCATTTGAGTACATTACAGACTTATCTTACAAATTGAGTCAATTTGCATATAGATCTTGCAATCAAGATCTATTTCTGAATACAATTCTTAAACATATGGCATGCATTATTTTCAGTTTTGATAATTTAAATTCTTTTTTTTTTTGCAACATTGTATTTATTTATAATGATTCCTAACATAAATTTTTATAAAAGTCTTGGCAAGACTGTTGTTTTTCTGGAATTCATTCACTTGCCATATCAGAAAGAAGCTACTGCTTGATGTATATTGACCAGATGAAGGCATGAGTTATGTATTATTTCAGTGCTAAGAATTAACAAATATTTGGTTAGTATCATTTATTTCTATAAGATTTTTATTTCCATTCAGTGGCTCCATTGCTCCAAGGTTTTTGGGGTTTTATATTAGAAACTTGAATTAGAAAGTCTAAATGTCTAATGCCTACAGTGTAGACAGTCTGGAAAACTGTGAAACTGTGAAATTGTAAATGATGATAAAACAAGGTGAATGAAAGCTGGGAACTTAATGGTAGGTGGAAATTTTATTCAGACTTCCTTTTGAGAAGTCTGCATATAATGTCAGCATATAACCAAGCCTGGATAAAATTAGACTTAAAAAAATTAATTATCCTATGCTCTCAGTTAAGAGATGCAATTTTTGTCAGTCATGTACACCTGTAAGAGTGCTTGTCCGAGAGTCAGCCTGAAGCCAGCTGTAGAGTAAGTGCCCTTCTGGGACTTTCACAAAGAGCACTTGAGGTGAGAATTGGCCAACAAAAGACCAATTTGGGCTTTCTCATCTTTCCAGCAACACCATGTGACTGAATCGGGGAGGCAGTTTTTTCAAGACATGAATCAAAGTGTAAGGAATGAGTGTGAGGAGGTACCAAGCCCTCAGAGTATTTGTGGCCTCCAGGCTCTCATACCATGTAGATCCAGCTTTTCCAAAAACTCTAGTTAAAATCAGGAAGTTTTGAACAATACATTCTTGACAGCTTTAGTGCTACATAAAGTAACAGACACTGCAAACCACGGAGGTCTCTTGTACAAGCCAGTAATAACTCATTCTAAAATGTTAGGCATGTTCTTATACTGCTTCAGCAGAAATTAAAATACTGTAGAAATTTTTTAATAGTCAGATCTGCATTTGTAGTGTTTTTTGGTTTTTTTAAAAAATGGCGCCTGAGTCAGTTATTCTACTTTGTAACTGAATTATTGGTAATTTTTCTTGCAGCAGCCTGGCTGGCAACAGAATATGAAATTTTCATCAGAATATATGAAATTATGAAATTTACTTGTGTTTTCAGGAGAATGTCACCATATAATGACAAAATATGCATCTTCTTAAGGGATAGATTTATATATTCATCCAATTAATAATGCCATAGATTAATTCTCAAGTATCAATTCACTAATTATAGATTAATTCACTGTATTAAATTACAGTGCTTGCCAGTGGCTTTTAAATAGATATTGTTGTGGCTTTCATTCTATGATTTATTACATCTTAGATTGTTGCTCTTACATCTAAAAACTTTAACATGTTCTCCAAGTAGTCTTTGGCTTAAATCGGTGGAAGGGGAAATGAGAAATGTAGCCTTTTTCAACAGATCATGCCTTAATGCTTTTTGTTTATATATTTGACTGCATGTCTCCACCTTCACTGCATGTGACCATCTCTCTGTTTCTGCTCATTCCGTCCAAATTCACATCCATGTTTCCAAATATTGTGAAGAACAACGACGCTGGAGTCTTGCATTGCAAAACCAGACAGTGTAGACCACCTAAGTGCTAAACCTGGAGCAGCACAGAGGTATCCTTATTTGCTCAAATTGTAGATACAAGTAAATGAGGTATTGGTTATAGTATATTCTTCATAAGTTCTGCATACTTTTGCATATTTTCTTTTTTTTTTTCTGGTTTTATGCACAAGTACATATATGCATGTATTTCATGGGTAATATTTAATCTCCTATAAAAGTGCATTTAATAGGTAAATTTGAGTGTGATATGAGCACCAATGCCCACAGTGTGCTCAAGCTGAGCCAGGTCTGCAAGTGCTGTAGTAGACTGTTGAGCTGTATGGAAATGTGTACAGCATCATCATAGCAAGAGGAAGGAAACAGAAAGGAAACTGATTTTAAATGGTTTCTAGCACATGCTGCTCCCAAAGACAGTGCTGAGAGCAGAGAAATAAGCATATTCAGCTCACTAGTGCTATATATTATTATCACTTTTCACAGGGAAGCATGTCATACAACTCAGCTTTTCCATCCCACTAACAGTACTCACTATGTGTTCTTTTTCTCCATTGCATGCAATGCCACAATTTAAGCAAGTGATGTAAGGAGTAAGAGGAAAATAGTCCCCAAACAGAGCAGAGGGTGACATAATTTGAATGATAATGCTGCTGCATCCATTAGATCTAACCATAACTTTAAATACTTTGCTAACCATAGGCTTTAAGTAAAGCTGCATGCAGCATTTAATACATGTGTTTCCCTGTGCATCCACTTTGCTTTTGTCCTGGTAAAAGAAAAAAAATTGGTAAGTAATGAGAATAAAAAAAAAAATATCTGATAAAATACCTTTAAAAAAAATTGATAAGTAATGCAAATTAAAAAAAAAATATCTGATAAAATACCTTGAGGGCAAAAGGGATCTTAATTTTTAATCCGATATACTATTTTTTGTAAGAAAAAAAGATTTTTTATAAAACCCAGATGGCATCAGGTAATGACCTCTGCTCATGCAGAAAGCATTTTGTATTTTGCTGCAGTGTTTGTTGTGGAGCATACTGCATCACAATCCAGTGCTCATCAAATATTGCAGTGGGTACAAATAATAAAAATCCACTGTGATAATGTTCTTTGGGTATAATTTGGTGCCACAGCTGTTTAGGTATCTTCCAGTTCAGACACTGCTTTACTCTTTATAACCACAAAGATTTAAAAGGAAAACATATTATTTTAAATACTACTTTTATCTATTTGTCTTGCCCATGGTAATTCTTTTATAGCTTAATATATGACATTGATTGTGTTGTTGCAAGATCTTATATGTATTGAAGTTTGTCAGCATTTCTGGTCTATGAATGAATAATCATCACTCCCTGGTTTTGACCACTCCTGAGAACTTTTTCTCATAAAAAACTGAGATTGTCAGAGGTTTAAAATTATAAATCCTAATTTGAAAATGCTCACATTACTGTGGATAGTACAGAAAATTCTGTAACACAAGACTTGCAGGACTTGCAGAGATTTGCATAGTATTTTTATAGTCCTGGGTAATAATGGTGAAATATGGCTTTACCTTTGTTCTCACATTTACTGACTTATATTACTCTTCATTGTTCTTATTTACTATCAAAGAAAGTGCTTAGATTGTCAGAGGTAACTAGTGCCTCACTATCCAATTGTCAGATGAATTTTATAAAAATTTGGGAAAGGAATGAAGGAATGAAATAGATTTCTAGCTTATTTATATTGACTATAAAAAAAATTAAATTGCTTCAAAAAATTCCTAAAAACCTGAACAAGTTTTAATTGAATTAGATTTTTGAAAAGCCAAGTTTTTATTAATAGTGACAGCCTTATTTAAATCTATATGATGCAGTATTTTTTTGCTTTGGAAAGTTAGATTTTAGAACCGTTTTTAAAGTTTACATTCGAATAGTATTTTCTGGTCCATTCTGTAACATATTTTTCCTGCTGTCTACTTTGAATCTGTTTTCCATGCGGTGAAGAGGTAACTAAAAGGCTTATGAAGAGGCATCGTTTCTGATCTAATACAGACTGTGAAGTGGGAACTAGTTGCAGGTTGTCAGGATTAATGTTTTCTTCCCTGTTTTGGTACCTCAGAAGTTTCACACCATCAGCCTCAATGAAACCTACTCAATGCAGTCTCAAACCTCGAGTTCACCAGCCTGTTCATGCCAATAGGTGTCACTTTCTCATCTGTCAACCATTTCTGTTATTACCTTTAGAATACATGAATAAATAATCTCCATGTTTCTATATTCTTTTTCCTCTTTGTTTATTTCTTTTCCGACATGTCATTTCACAGGCAGTCCAGAAAAGTGGAAAGATATAGCAGCCAAAAACAAACTAGGAAAGTCTCCGCAACTGAAACAGAAAGGTAGGATTGCTGGTCGATGTGTGAACAGCTGTTATAATCAGTCTGGTTCCAGTTTTTGGAATATACTTCTAATATGACTCTTTTAGAACATCTGTGACAGTACCTAAAGCTGCATTGCCATAATTTACATTATTTACTTTCAATCTACATGATTAGCACTGCTTGCTGTGTTGCACACATACAAAAAATTTCTGGTAATCTCCTTCTTTGCAGATAAACTCAATGGTAAAGACTAGCAGTCCTTTTCTGCACCTTACCACTGTTCTTTTTTGCTTTAACATTTAGTATATTGAAATATAATAGATTAGATAGATATAATAATATCATATATCATAATTCAAAATGTCTCTGTTCAAGTTAATTTCACTTTACAATATAAAAATGTTAAGTTACACAATGACATATGTACAGAAATTTTTTAAATCTACCATTACATAAAGATAATATAAACACTGGGACTTTAACTTTTGTATTCATTGAATTTTCCTGTACATGAATTATTATTATAACTTTTAACTTTGATGCTACAGTAGTATAGGGTTACATATTCAAATTCTTAAGAAAAAGTAAAAGAAAATCATATAATAAAGAAGATATGAAAATCATATCAGAAGTGCATATGGTTAATTTTTAAACTCTGTGTACTGGCTGAAATTAGAGCAGTGAGGAGAGGTGAGATCCTACCTTTGCTGGGATTAGATTTATGTTATCTTGATTAGCAGAGGTGGAATGTACATCTGTTTACATTGTGAGAGCTGAAAAACTTCCATGAACAACACAGAACTCGATTTTCAATAAAAATACACATCATGTAGCAAAACTTCAGAGCTTTTCTTTTGTTTTGCTACTTTGAGTTCCAAGTTATCATTTCTGATCTAAATGCAATGGTTACACTTTTCTTCTCTTTGATGATTCTGTTGTCACAACAGTCCAGTTGCTTTTTCATTTTCCATCAGAGATATTGCCTAAATGATGGCAATGATTGAATCAGGGAGAGTTTTGCCATGAAGATCACTAAAGGCATTTTTTCCCTTGTTTTTTCTAACTTCTGGGGAGTGACTGAGGTCCAAGGGCCTTGGTTCTTGGCAATGGTTATTCAGCAATGAACCCAATGCAACAAAAGCATAGGGAAACATGAATTGTGCTGCTTCTCTATACATGCTTTAGTTTTCTGTTTCAATGAAATGATTCACTGCTCTTAGACGTGAGAGTAAAATGTCTAAATAAATCTGAGTGCTGTAGTTAACAATTTCATCACAGATATAATATTTTGCTAGTGCCAGAAAGTATTGATAACAGGACAGGCAACTAATTTTCTCATCAAATTGACTCAAGACCATTTTTCTTCATATTTCAATTTTTTTCTTAGAATTAGTCTTTATTTTGCAATTTGCAAATCTTGTGTACTAATAGTTAAACATATTACTGGGATATCAGCATGCTGTCAGCTTCTCTATAGCTCATTTCAACATGCTATGTTGATCAAGTTTTCTATATATTGTGATAGCTTAGGAAATGCACATAAAAAGGGAAAAAGCAAACCTTTTCAGGACACTTTATAGAGCCTAAAATAATTAAGGTAAAAATTGAGATAAGCCTTCAAGATGGGATTCAGTAAACTGTTCTGAAGGAGTAAAATCGATGACATGAAAATCAAACATTTTCTGTTCTTGTATGAACAAGCAAAACTTGTAAGAATTGTTCATTCCAATTCTAAAATGTTTTCTTTCAGTCCTAACTGATCAGCACAGAAATGCCAGATGTGACGTTACTTGTCATCTATGTTCAGATACATACAGTCTTTTACTGTACTTTCTATGTTTTACATAGGATGCTGTGCCAGAGGTGCACTGGATTGTTGATGTTCTCTTATTCTCAGTTTTTTAGGTGGCAGCACATTTTATTTAGCGTGTGCACCCAGACATCTATCTGAAGGGAAAGGAATTAGAACTTTTTGTGTGCTGGCAGAGCTGAAACCTGTAGGATTTCCCTGTAGACCATTGCCAGCTGAATTAGTAGGTTTTCTACTTGCAGTCTAACCTTCCTCTGTGAGGAAACAGAAGATGAGATACACATGTATGCACTCATTGCAGTCTCATTCCTCACCAGGTATCATTTTTGCCCCAAATTCCTCTCTCCATACTTCTTATCTCACTTCTGTCTCATTTCCTAATTAGCTTTTGTCTCCCATGCTTGTTCCTTGTTCCTTTTTGTCTCATTCTCTTGATCAGCCATTTGCAGACTTCTTCCTTCCAACAACTGATCTTTCTTCTAGGCCAGCAAGTCCTTAACTCCATTCTAGTTATTCTTCAATTGCCTTTAAGCTCTTTTTGTTTGCACCCCAAGTAGCATATTTGTTTCATTGTAACCCTCCAGCTAATGCAAATCTTAAGCCTGATTTGTCTTTATTTGAGTTAAGCAAATCCTCTATCTTTCTCTTGGAAGGGGACTAGTCTGTAAAAAGGGAGGAGGAGATAGGTTTCTGACTTGCAGATAAAGTCCTGTCGTGATCTGTAATGGCAGGACAGACTCATAGTTTTTCACTGGACTCTCAGATAAATTCCAGGATATTTAGCTTCTGAAATGAAAAACAAATCAGAACTGAGAACATGTTGACTTTGTTAGATTGAAGCATCCATTCAGAGTAAAAGTAAACAAGAACTTCCTGACACAGAGTGGGATCCATATTTACCTTATGAATGTTAGGATGTTTAAACATCCCATAAAACAGATGCTTAAAAGCTGTTTGCACACAATAGCTGGCATGGATTACTTTTACAGTCAGCATGGAGAAACAGGCAGTTTCAGAACTCAGCTCATCTTCATTATTGTAAGCATCTTTTACAATCAGGAGATTCAGTATCTGCAATAATATCATGGTTATTATCAGGGCAAGCCAGGAGTTAAATGAAAGAAGAGAAGGAATATAAGCAAGGTCAACAGAATCTTGGGGGTTTTGCATTGTGACTGGACTTCCACATTAACTATAACTGGTAAAATGGCTTTGAAACCAAACCTGTTTGTTATCCTTGGTAGGCATCAGCATGTTATTTCACATATAGGATCTTTTTTTCAGGATTATTTCTTAGTGTGTGATAGTCATATGAACTAGTCAGTTCCTTGGTTAGTTTGAGGGTACAGTTTGTGGGAAAGTTGTGCTGGGTATATGAAGGGAGACTTTATAAGTCTGTAGAAACCAAAAGTTGCAAGCAATCAACCAACAAGAATACCCCACAATGAAATGATGTCACAAGAAATTGAAATTTCTGAAGTAACAGCAGATCCAGTAGTATCTTTTACAAAATGCTGCACTGTTGGAAAGCCAAAGAAGAGTAAAAAGGTACAGTTAGAATACTTTGGCACTCTACAAACTTTAAATGTTTTGGTTTATCTTATACTTGTAACGTGTGCAATTACTAAACTACTAATAATTGTGCTTTATTATATTAACAGAATCATTTTACTGCATAATATTAATTATATTAGCATTAGAGTTCCTTCAGAACTGCATTTCTGCTTTAGAACTTACAGCAGAAAGATACTTAAATAGATTGTTTATTTCAAACTGTTAGTGAAACCAAGAGAATTTCATTTGTGCTTCCATATTGTCCTTTTTTAGGACACTACTTGAAATCCAGTTAACATTTTTAATAAAGATTTAAGGTATGTTTTAGAAACAGAAATACTTTGTGGTAAAATTAGGTATTCATAGCCTCCTTTGCCAGTCCTTCTGTCATCTGTTGTTAGCTTGTGTTTGCTGTGTTTAAGGTGCAGCTAGAGTTTTTGGCCAACTGTCCCCTATAAGCAGGGCAGTCCAACAGTTCCACAGTTAGGGTCGTGTGTATCTGCAGTGGTGAGTGTTCTTCAGTTTCTCATTTTGAAAATGCATTTGCATTCAAAATTAATAACTTCCCTCTGAAATGTCAACCCTGGTCCTGCAGCCAGGATTTGCAATGTTCTTTGATGGAGGGGGGCATGGGAAGTTGTGCCTGGAGCTAACAACTGAACACTTTCTTTTTGGCCCTGATGTTTTAGGGGTCTTCTACCATGTCTTTCTAGAAGGGGACTTCCACCCCCACGAACGACTGAACAGCCAGTCATTAGGGGAAAGCATCACACTCGCTCAAGGTCGAGTGAGCAGTCTAGTATCAGACCCTTATGCTCTGTACATCACCTAGCATCCGGAGGCTCGGCGCCACCTTCTCCACTTCTGACAAGGTTGCTATTACATGTACACCACAGCTTTCATGTTCTGCCTCCCAGGTGTCAGTGTGGTGTTGTACTTTCCTGAGCATACATGGCCCATTCACTCATTCTGACACTGTAGATTATCCTCTCTTCATGGTATTTACACTTCTCCCATATCTTTTACGCCACCTCTCTTCACCATCTAGATGGTACTTCTTGCTGTTGAACTCAAATAGTTATGCAAATCAAGAGTAAAAGATTGGCTGTGTTTCGTCCTTCCATTGTTGTGTTTTGTTCTGTATCCATATCAAAACGACTGAAGTATTTTTCTTAAACATTGTGCAGAAAATCACAAGCTTTTCACACAGATAACTCTGATCTTGCAGGCTAAGAGAAAGTCAGTTGACCTATGTAGACTGAAAGCCAACAGTGTTTTGAACTTGCACAAATGCATTGCTTAAAATTAAAAATTATCTACTTGCAGCCTTGCACTTACCTAGTTGATCTTGCAAGTCTAGTAGATAAACACTGTTTATCAACTACAGTGAGTGTAATATTACTGTAACTGACAACAGCATTTCATGGTAAGCTCTACTTCTCTGCAGTCTGCTGCTTCTCATCTTTGTTTTACTTTTTCCCTAGTTATTACAGGTGCCCATACTTATTCTGAATGCAAACCTACCAGTGCTCCAAAGCTGTTACACTCAGTTGTATCTATGTACAAGAAATCAAGTAGCCAAGTTGTTCTGAAATAGTGCTAGCTAGAATTCAGCCAAAGAGGTTTAGGATATTTACTTAGGTATGAATGTTAAAAATCTTGTACATGCTTTGCATTCACACACAGAAACACACACACACCCCTCACTCCCTGCAATACCAAGGATAAAGGTCTTTTTCCTTCTTTGAGTTCAGGGGAAAACAACACACTATCACATGGGAATAGATACTGTCCAATTCTCTGTGGCCTTGTTAAATTATTGCATCAGCACAAAAAAATAGAGTTAATAAAACATAGAGGGAGCATTTTGTATTGCCCTTGTAACAGTGCAGAAGAACATACATAAATTGAGTCATAATTATAAATGGTTCTTAGAAAATTGCTTTTCATTCCATGTTTTTTGACTAGTATTTTATGAAAGAAAAAAAAAGAAAGAAAAACCAAGCCTACAAATAAATAAATAAATAAATTGCAGCTAAGGGAAATAGCTCTCCTTAGTTGAATGTAGTTAGAGAAATTAAATGTGAGGGCTTATAAGTCGACTAGGTATGTAGACCTGAGTATGTGCATATGGCATACACTAAATTCAAACTTTTTCAAACTCATCTTCAGTATATGCAACTTAATGTGTTTAAAATTCAGAATATAAAACATCTCTTGGCTTATTTTGCTTCTATCTTAATTTCATTTGCAGAACACATCCACAAGGAAGTCCCACACAGTCTCCTCCTGCAGACACGTCCTTCAGCAGTCGTAGGGGAAGACAACTACCGCAAGTTCCAGTAAGAAGTGGCAGTATAGAGCAAGGTATCAAATAATGAGCTTATGATAGCTCACACTCTTTGATTTCTTACCTTTCTTTACTTAAAGTCTACTTGCATAACTATGTGTCCAATGCTATAATTCCACTAATAAAGCAATAGAAGAGAACATAATTGTATTTGTAGTTTGGGAAATCCAGTGGAGTTTGACCGGTGGGTTATTACATGTGGTTTAAATGCCTTAATTTTCTAGTACCTGTTTATGTTTGTCTACTTTAATATTTCTGTGAGAATTATGGTAGTTTCCAACACATATCTAGTATGTTATCAGCTGAGAAAAACAGGGGCAAAGATTTTGACAACGTTTTGACAGTCTTACTGATTTCTTATTTTGTGGTTTATATTCATTGTTGTGCATTATTAACATAGATTAATAACAAATATCATGAATCTGTTTTTCGTCTGGAGTTCATAGTTCAGTGAGTAAAGAATGAAAATTAGCACAATGGGAATTGTGAAAAGACAGGTCATCAGCTCAATCTTTCTTAAGAATAAACTGATCAGGCAAAGAATGCTGCTCTTTTCTGAAAAAAACAAAGTGGACCTAATGGTTATGGAAGATATTTTTACATACTAATATGAAGAAAGTATGTATGTTGCTGTTTCCTTTTTATACGGCACACAGAGTTATTATGGTAAAATGAAGTGGCACAATGGTTAATATTTGCACATTCACATTTTCTTCTGTGTTTAAAAAAAGAAACGTGTTATGTCATTGAGTACAAGCAACAAATGAGGTTGTCACATAGCACCAGGTTTTCTTCTATGTGGAAATTAGAGAAATGCTTCTAATTATGAAGTATTGTAGTGCTTTATGGAACTGTTAGCAGGCTGTGTTCTCGAACAGATAATGTTGCTGACTGTGACTGCCTTATTGTGACAGATTACCACTGTGGGGCTTGTGTATGATGGCTCACATTAACATGCAATCAGTTTGCATTACTCAGCTTTGAGCTGTGATGGCATACTAAACCTTCAATTAGCACATATAAATGTACTCTTGTTTTATATATGTGTTGATTTTGAATGATTAATATACTGATACAAGTGGCTTTTATTAATTTCAAACTTTATATTTGGGTTCTCTCATTTCGTAGTGAATCTAGGACTGTCTGGATTACAAACTAGTTGCAAAATACATTTACGGCTTCTATTTCTGCATATTTGCCAGTTGGGGCTTTTTAGGGCAATGTAATTAGTAATGAATTTCAACTTCCATGTTTCTTCTTCAGTTGCAGAACTTGGTGCAATCTATAATGATGTATCAGTGTTGAATTTAATTTTAAGTTGGCTTTTCTTTGGGTATTCATCTGTCATCTTTCTGCTGTTCTTGATAACTGGTGTGTGAGAATAAAATACTAGTTTATGATTGTTGAAGGCATTGGAAATGAATGTAGAACTTATCGTGAAACTGAGTATAGATGGGATGTGTACAGAAGATGAAACGAAAAAATCGAGGTTGAGCAAAAGGCTAAAGCTGCTCTAGGTTTAGCAAGTTCTTGATACCATGAACACCTGTCAAGTAATGCTGTTTCAGTGAACTTGTTTGCACTTGTGGTTGATATGGTTGTGCCTTATACACGGAGTGTACAAGTAGGATGCGACGTATTGTTTTCTTTGTTGCTATATATCATACCACCTGTGTCAACGTGGCTGTATTATGGCTCGTGGAATCCAAGGTTAAAGACATTTCCTTCACTAAATAGTACTTTGGTTTTGTCTAAGTGACCAACTTGTGCTTTCGATAGGGAGGTTTTCTGATTTTACCCACGTTTAATACCTGGTTCAAGCTCAGAATGCATTTGAAGAGAGTTACTAAATCAAATAAGTTTTATAAAATATTTAAAAATGGTTTTGTCAGTATCTGCTGAAATACCTATGGTAGTATGTCTAACTTTATAGAACTGTAAGAAATTAAAGTCAGTGAGGCTATAAGACCACAGTATTTGCTCTGATTTGCACTATTAAATTTTAATACTAGTTTCACCTGTTTAATCCCTGTCAAAGGAGTATCAGGATCAAATATAAAGACTGGAAGTGATCTGACCTTAACATAGGATTGAATCCAAAGCATACTGAGTTCCGTAAAAGAGTTGCATTAGCTGTACCTGGAACTGAATTATATACTTAATGGTTTAAATTCACAGTCACCATAGATACAGATGATGTCAAAATCTAGTGCAATATACAAATGTCATAGGGAACATTTCAAAATGCATTTTCTTCATTTGCAAGTAAAACTACATCTTGGTGGTCAGTACTGATGTCCTGTGTTTCAGAAAAGACCTGTATGACACAGCATAAAGTAACATTTTATTAGTAAAGTATTTCTTTGTGCTCTATACAAGTCCTGTTGTTTTGGAAGGGTTGAATACACATCTAAATATGTACATCTATGAATCTAAATTTGTTGTACCAGTCACAGTGATTGCTGTAAAAAGATCGAATGTCTGTATCAAGAGTGGTCTTCTTATTTGCTCTTCACATATCCAGGAGACATAGAAGAATCCAGTCAAGTAATTTTATTGCTCTTTAAAGCTCTCATGGAAAAAATGAGAGCTAATAAAAGAGCAAAAGACTGGTAAAGGTTTTCATCTGGAGAAATAGAGTAATATTTTGACTCATCTCTAATCTTTAGTGCTCAATTGTAAGTGATCAAATCCATGTTAATAAGACTTCTTCAAGGGCTGACATCGCATCTCATTTTGTTGTCAATTTTAGACTATAAAAAAAGTCGCTTCCTTCTCTCTACCAGGTGGTGATCTCTCAGTTACTACTCTGGTTGGCAGTTTGAGAATCATAAACATTCAACCTATGATAAAATAAGGTAGTTTTACAAGGTCCTTAACATTAGACACACTTTATTAAAAAAAAATTCAAATCTCACAGAAGTAATTGTTACAGAGAAGACCAAAGTAGTGATCTTTATTCCATTACAGAAATAGGGTTGGGACTACTGATCAGGAACAGAAAAAAAAAAGTAAACACCTTAAATGTAGGGGGAAAAGTCCAGTTTAAGGACTAAAACCTCAAAACTGCATTATTATGCACATTGGCAAAAGGAAAAAAAAAGAAAATCTGAGAAGTTTTCTTGGTGATTATGTTCTAAAGGGACTAGCAGCTTTGTATAGTTTGGGAGTTGAGGAGGGCCATAGTTTTTCACTTAAGACAGTTCATGCAGAATTTTTAAAGTGTTTGCGGCTAAGATTGTAGGTTTCTGTAATTTTTCAATGTGATTTTTATTTTAATGCCAGGGATATTCAATGAAGACATAGCTGTATTTCTTCCCTTTGCATCCCTGTCAGCAATATTTCCTAGAGTGCAAGACACATTGAGATGTTATTGCATCTAAAGGTCTTGAGATGCTTGAGTATTGAAGGTTAGTCTTGTATAGGTGTGTCTGCATATGTTTTCAAGACATCAGAATCTAATAGTCATTACCCTAACTTATGCTACTTAAGAAGTGGTTTGGGGGGGTTTTGTATTAACTGATAATTTTATAAAACAATCCTAATGCTATGAAGATGTTTTGGCTCAGTGACTAAAGCAGTGAAGTTCTAAGCCATGGTAAGGACAATGGTGTATTCTCAATATGTCCTTCTGTGCTGAGCTGTAAGAGATTTGCCTCACTGTTTCTGTATTTGCATCATATTTCAGTGGAACTGTGCAAATCATTGAGGGGTGGGGATTCTGCATTGACTTTGTTTCTCAGCTGTTTCTATAACAACTGTGTGATGTAGTTGCATGGTTTTTCAGTGATACTCTTGTATAAAGCATATCTCTGTGGTCTTTACTCCGTCCACCCTCTGTTATTGCAGCTATCAAACACCACAGGAATTCTTGCTTGAATAGCATCTGAGAGTGGCTCTCTACACTTTTGTATAATGGTTAATCATTGTATTGATCAAGGAAATGAATATACACCCTGAAGACTTGAAGCATTTTATCTGCCCTTCTTTTTCTCTGCAGTAGATAATGTTAGGGATTATATTAGGAAATATAGCAAAAAAAACCAGGAAGAAACCTATTATGTGCTATTGGAATTTATGAGCAATATAAGTGTGTGATGACTGTGGTATAAAAATCATCTTTCAGGGTTTGTTTGTGCAAAACAGGTCTTTCTCCCTCTATCTTCTGTTTGGGTTTTCAGAGCGTGGTTTCTTTATCATAACTTCAGAAATATGGTTTCCTATTTCAGAAGTCCTATACTGAGGGTAAGGTTTGTGATGATCAGCAATCTATTTACATGTCAAGAGCATCTGTAAACACCACTGAAGTAGTGTGGTTGTATGTGTTTCCAGTGGCATCTATTGATGGCAATAGGTCTTATGTAGTGACATTGAGAAAAGCAAAAGTGCATCCAGGATTAGGTATTGCTGTATCTTAGCTCATGTTGGAAAAAGCTGCATAAGCTTTGTACACAGCCTGTTTGCAGGGTGAAGTGCATGTGTGCTCGTGTGCTGCTGCTCTTACATGAGGGAAAACTACAAGTCTCTACTGGGAGTGAATGGGGATTACTTGTATAAAGTTCATGTGTATAATATATGTACAATGGTAGTTACATCACAGGGGAATTAAGTGTTTTGATGTCAGGTATTTCTTTTTTAACAAATAAGAATCAGAATTTCATACAACAAGTCAGTATGTTGTCAAATAATACATTGAGTTGCAAGTATCTTTTTATATTTAACCACCTTAAGATCCTAAAAAAAAAAATTGCGAGTGAAAATTGGTAGTGAAAACCATTCTGTGTATATGTACCTGATCACTGAAATGTCATTGCAGCGAAAGTGTGGTTGGGGTAATGGTAACAGCTGGTAGTGAAAACCATTCTGTGTGTATGTACTTGATCATTGAAATGTCATTGCAGTGAAAGTGTGGTTGGGGTAATGGTAACAGATCAAACCCTTTCAGTTAAAATCTTTTTGCAGATCCATCAATATAAAAATCGAGTTGCAGAAGAAAAAGAACAATTTGTTTCAGTGT